CCTGTTCAGAATTATGAAACGCTCCATGCTATATGTTGCCCACGTGTATTCAGCTTACGTGTATGTTGCATGGAACACATCCAAGAGCCACTAATTTGGAGGTGGAGGAGGTGGATCCAGCAAAAAGCGCCGTTTGCATTACAAATTTGTCCTTCAGAGTGTGGAGTTGTGGCAAAGTGGATAGCGCACTGCGTTATATCCCCAACCACCACGATGTTAATCTTCCGGCCACAGCTAACATCAGTGACGAGCGATATCTGAACTGATCCTGAGCCTTTCTCCCTTCACAAACCCACACTGACCAGCATGGTGAAGTTATGATGAAACAAATCTCCATGACCTAGCACAGCATGAGGAGGCCTACATCCAGCATTGGATTGACAAAGGGCTGTGCATTACCACTCAGGACAATGCTGTGACAGAAAATACAGCAGGTAGTTTTCTAAGCTATTTGTAGAGGTTTTAAGTAGTCCCTCTATGCGTGGGCTTTCTCCGGCAATTGCAGTTTCTTCCCACATGTTCATCTACTCTATATGAAAACGCATAAGCTTCGCCAATTGTACCCGCTTGATAATAATAACGAACAATTTATAACGTGTGCATATTTCACAAATCGGAACGCATTGTTCGATCGAGTACTAGGAGGCGTGGAGACAAATTTATTTGTCGTAAGCCAGCCTGAACATGTGAGCTTCGAGCTGCTGGTCGTATGTATGTTGAACTTCCTTCACACCGTACCTAGCCAACCTGGATGATGCTTGAATGCAGTGTGCGGTGGGAGAGCGTATGAGATGGCTGATGTAGCTATGGTGAAGCGCCGCTTAGCCAGGACGGTGCCGGTTCTGGGTACGATGAGCAGGTTGTCAGGTGTGCTATGTAGGGACGCGGTGGTTTGACGTGGTCAGTGGAGTGAGAAGGACATATCAGAGATATGGGGCGGAATACCTTGAGAGGAGAGATCTCTGGTACAGGATATAAAACATTTTTCCGTATCTTTGATTTGACGTGGAGCTAATGCAACATTTTTAGCGAAGCCATGGAAACCATGTGGGTCGCACATGATGCCCAGGACACATGACGGGTTGTTTTTGAAGCCCCGGTGTACTTTGTTGAGGTGTTTTTTTTTTATGATTGTCGGAGAATTGTTGGCATTGCGGGACATCAAGACGAGTGCCAACGATGTCTGCAAGCCACAGAGTGTTTGCTTTGGTGCTATAAATGCCCAAATGATGGGCCACTTTGTTGAGATATTATTTGTGGCCAGGCCGTCTCTGAAAAATAATTGAATACCTCGGTGGGCTTTGCTTGATAGGATTGGGATGGTTTAGTTTTATTTGTATGTTTTTGGGTGATTTGTTTACCTTGTGCTTTGCATGTTTGTTGTTCAAGCGTTCTTACCCGCCCCTACTGGACGTCTGTGAAAAAGAGCTTTGTAGCTCATCGGATTCCTCCAGTATAAATACTGTATGTATTTCTGATTCTGATGTTTGCTGTGGCTGTGGTCACACGTTGGGCAGATGTGCCACCACCGCCACCAGGTCCTGAGATGGTGAATGAATGGCATGTTGAGCGCATGGTTGTCGAGTGGAGAATGTAGAGTCCCAAGGTGACACCGATGATCTTCAAATTATTTGCGCGGCTGATGGCGGGGCCAATGGTGTGAGAAGATTTTGAACGAGCGGCATTGGTGTTTAGGAAAAGGGGCTACGTAATGTTTGAGGGTTTCGTCATAGGTGATTTGACCAAACGCAGTGTTGCAATGTTGGGGGAAACATTTTCAAGGTTGATTGGCCCTGATTGCAGCTTTTGTTGTAGTATAATTGAATGTCAATGGCGTAGGTGTGACAGTTTATTATGTTACTGTTGATGAGATGACCAATCACGGCAATGTAGACCGATGGAAATATGGTAGAGGACCCAGGACGGATCCGTGAGGGACACCTGCATGTATGTATTTTGAACTTCTTTCGCACCGTACGTGGCCAATCGTGATAATTGGAGGTGCAGTTGATGTGATGACTGGGGTTGAGGACTGGCCACAACCTTGATCGTAGTATCTTGTGCTCCGGTGTGAGCTGTTGCAGCTCATGGCGAAATCGGATTATAGATAAAAAATGGTGTTCGGAATCAATGAGGCTTTCGGGTATAACAACGTAACTTGTTACATTTGTATTACAGTATTGCTGGTAATGCTATTGCAATGCATTGTAGATGTTTTTCGACTACGTGGTGGGCAGCAGAGGTCAGACGTTTCCTGTAGTTGGCCACCAGGTTTGCACACATCTCAGGAGGGATTTTGTCCCACTCCTCTTTGCAGATCTTCTCCAAGTCATTAAGGTTTTGAGGCTGACGTTTGGCAACTCGAACCTTCAGCTCCCTCCACAGATTTTCTATGGGATTAAGGTCTGGAGACTGGCTAGGCCACTCCAGGACCTTAATGTGCTTCTTCTTGAGCCACTCCTTTGCTGCCTTGGCCGTGTGTTTTGGGTCATTGTCATGCTGGAATACCCATCCACTACACATTTTCAATGTCCTGGCTGAGGGAAAGAGGTTCTCACCCAAGATTTGACGGTACATGGCCCCGTCCATCGTCCATTTGATGCGGTGAAGTTGTCCTGTCCCCTTAGCAGAAAAACAGCCCCAAAGCATAATGTTTCCACCTTCATGTTTGACGGTGGGGATGGTGTTCTTGGGGTCATAGGCAGCATTCCTCCTGAAAACACGGCGAGTTGAGTTGATGCCAAAGAGCTCCATTTTGGTCTCATCTGACCACAACACTTTCACCCAGTTGTCCTCTGAATCATTCAGATGTTCATTGGCAAACTTCAGACGGGCATGTATATGTGCTTTCTTGAGCAGGGGGACCTTGCGGGTGCTGTAGGATTTCAGTCCTTCACGGTGTAGTGTGTTACCAATTGTTTTCTTGGTGACTATGGTCCCAGCTGCCTTGAGATCATTGACAAGATCCTCCCGTGTAGTTCTGGGCTGATTCCTCACTGTTCTCATGATCATTGCAACTCCACGAGGTGAGATCTTGCATGGAGCCCTAGGCCGAGGGAGATTGACAGTTCTTTTGTGTTTCTTCCATTTGCGAATAATCACACCAATTGTTGTCACCTTCTCACCAAGCTGCTTGGCAATGGTCTTGTAGCCCATTCCAGCCTTGTGTAGGTCTACAATCTTGTCCCTGACATCCTTGGAGAGCTCTTTGGTCTTGGCCATGGTGGAGAGTTTGGAATCTGATTGATTGATTGCTTCTGTGGACAGGTGTCTTTTATACAGGTAACGAGCTGAGATTAGGAGCACACCCTTAAAGGGTGAGATTAGGAGCACACCCTTAAAGGGAGTGCTCCTAATCTCATCAGGTTAGCTGTATAAAAGACACCTGGGAGCCAGAAATCTTTCTGATTGAGAGGGGGTCAAATACTTATTTCCCTCATTAAAATGCAAATCAACTTATAACATTTTTGACATGCGTTTTTCTGGATTTTGTTGTTGTTATTCTGTCTCTCACTGTTCAAATAAACCTACCATTAAAATTATAGACTGATCATTTCTTTGTCAGTGGGCAAACGTACAAAATCAGCAGGGGATCAAATACTTTTTTTCCCTCACTGTATATAGTTCTCCACAACGCAAGGTGTGACCCGGTATCGACACGGTTCTGTAATGTGACCGCAGTGCATATATATTTTGTTTGTTTATCGGTCTCTCCCTTTTTTTTGTCTTTAAAAGCCACCACAACCAATAACCTCCTCCCTCTACTCTAAGCCACACCTGGCGTGGGGAATTTGAGACGCTACTGACAGATCTCACGCAGTCTGCCAGGGCAGTGCTTGAAATGGAGAGCCCCCTTTGTGGATGCGAGTGGCCTTGCGTGACCCCTTTACTGCAGCGTGAGCGCGTGCGGTCACATTCAGTCTCTAGGCTTGCCTCCAGGGGCTATGGGCCGGGGAAATATCTTGGTAATGCCGCCACGCATTTATATTTACTAATTTGTGTTGCTAATGAATCGGCCCTGCAGCGGTGTCTCGGTGTGTGCGATATGGAAGGGTTTTCTGGCTTATTTTAGAACAGGATGCGCAAGAAATGGACGATTAAAAGTCTGCTCAAATGACTGTTCGTGCAGCATTCATATTCATGAGTAGCCCTGAGCCAATGGTGGAAATTCCACATCCCTATGGTGGAGGTATAAGGCACCACACACGCACACTTAATGTGGCTGCTAAAAAATTCCACAGGATCAGCCACTTTGTTGAGTTTTCATTTGTGGCCTAGTCACTTCTGAAAAAGCTCTGGGCCTTACCTGGAAAAATAAAAACAGTTTTAATTAATTGTTTTCATGCTTGACTTGTAGTATTGACTCTCATCTTTTATGATCAATTATTTTGTATAATCTGGTATGGCACAGTATTGTAATGTTCTTATTTGTATGGAGTACAGTACTGTGCTGTGGTATAAAATAATAAACTTACAGCCTTTGGTTAATCCACTGCTGGATGAAAGTTTCTCCACACCATCATGTTAGCCGTGGAGGTTATTTGACCATACTTCATCATACTGATCCAGACCAGCTTGGTGAAGTGGAAGTATGTAGGCCCGGTTCGGATATCACTACACACTGAAGTTATCCATGCCGGGAATCGGTAACCAGATTGTCAGTAGTGTGGTTACCACTCTGCCACCACTTAGCCCACTGTGGTATGAAAGAAAGCATGAAGTGAGAATATGTTCTTAACTAAAAAAAAATCAAACGGTGTTTGACGTATGCTTCGGTCTGTATTGTGCATATTCTGGCAGTAAATGTAGTCGTACTTGATATGGCATGTGCTTTGAATGTGTGTAGTATGGGTCTGTTGTGTATATATTGTCTACAGAATGTACTTCACATGCGTATAGCGTATGCATGTGTTAACATGCATACGCTATATGTGATTATATATAATGCATGTGGCATTATTGTAAATCTAATGGGAATTTTTTTAAAATAAATTTGAACAAAATGCGTATACTCACATGTGTTTTCCAGTATTGCACACACACTGATAATTACCCAAATATGAATTCTCGCTAAATAAATACACGGGTGGAGCGGTTCCATTCCCAGCCACGGCAAACATTAGCAGCGGCGAGTTTTATCCAAATACTGTACGTACTCGGCCCCTCTTCCCCCAACCCGAACTGACCAGCGCGGTGAAGTACGATCAGACAACGCTCACGACCGACACCGCACGATGGAGGACTTCATCCAGGAGTGCACTGACAAAGGGGTGTGGGGTACATCTTCATTTGTTCTCGTTTCCACGGACTCAGCGACAACGACGACGACAATGCAAGGTTCCCATTGCAAATAGACAACGTGACTCTCAATGCGCGTTTCACCTGGTTAAATAAACTGGCAGCAATTATGCACAGTTCCTGGGCTGGTATTTTCTTAACATTTTGACCATTTTGGGGAAGTCTTGTGTGTGTGTCTGCGCTGTGGGGCGGTGGTGTAGCGGTTAATGTGCTGCGCTACGAACATGGAAACCCGGGTTCGATTCCCGGGTTTCCATGTTCGACACCAAAATTGACGATTATCTGAACCGGTCCTGGGCCTCCCCTATGTCGACTTGGCCTCAAGTGAGTACCTGGTGCGATATGTAAATATTGCCACTAGGGAGACAAAGGCGGCCGGGCGTGCTGTTCGCCACCCACCCCCTTGTGTGCCGTGCTGGCCTTCATAGGTGCTACCTGCTAACAGCACTTGCCTCGACAGTCTGTTTAGGCTATACGGGGGATCTTTGTCTTCCATTTACCGGTACATTGAAAGGCGCACGGTGTTTATTGGACTCTGGGGCCGCGCATGGCTTCGGGATAACTTTCAGTGTGTACTTGTCAATCACAACACCTGGCCCCTCCCAGTGCTGTGACGTTAAACATGCCTCACCACTTTGTTGGAAAGAGTTAGTGTGCCCCAGTTAGTCACGTTTCAGTGTTAAAATGGTAAATTAGTGGCCAGTACCGGATGATATGTTGAATGGGTTTTTCAGTCATTTTGCGGGTAAAATACATGCACGCATTTTACAGACGAAACAAGCCTGGGGGAAAAAAAAAACATCAGTTGGTTGAGGCTTTTTTTTATCAGATCAATCCTCCCATATGTGTGGCACACGCACACTCGATAGACCACATTGCAAGTGTTGTACACAACCATTAAACTGCCTCTGCATTGAGCAGTCACCCCTCTGAACGTCAATCCATTATGTAAACACCCGACCAGCAATGTGATATATTTATCCCAGAAAGCCCCACCGAGTTTTGTAACGCTCTGTCAGGAGGGTATTTCTTGGGCCACTTTATTCAGTACAGTACAAATATTTCAATATTTCAACGGAGCGCCTGACAATAACCAACATGCAGGCTGTGTGTTTCCATTGCGACTGTTTATCTGATAAACAGAACGCAGAAGAAAGGAATGCAACTGCAAATATTCTCAAATGCTTTCCAACGTGCATTTGTCCTCAAAAGTATTTTTTAAAGTCTAATGAATTCGTATTACCTGTGGTGAACTGGATCAGAAACATTGCCATTAACAAAGAAAATATGTAAATGGGGAGAAAACCTTAAAAGTATTCAAAGGATCATTGCGACATGAACATGGGGATTTGAGAACGTGCCGGATAACGTATTGAGTGTTTGTTAAAGTCTTAATTAGAATCAGAATCTTTATTTAGACTGGAAGAATCCGATGAGCTATGAAGCTCTTTCACAGATGCCCAGTAGGGGCAGGTCAAAAAATTACAACAATAAACAATGCAAACACAGACAGGAGTGCAAAGTATAGGGAAGTTGAGCGAGTCACTAAATAAAAAATAAAATATAGACGTGGGCTTGGGCAGGACACATCGCCAGAAGGGATTAATGGTTGACTGGAAAGATTAATGACAAAGTGACAGCCAAGGGGGAAAGCACGTGCCCAAAAGTAGTAGTACCACCAAGGAGATGGAGCATATAAATATTATCCCGATTAAATGACATCAGCTTGTGTGCAGGTACTGGGTTGGATTGCCACGTCGCGGGAGTGGTGATGGCTCGGGGTGTGTGTTCATACAGCAGTGGATTGACCATGGCCCGATGAAGAATGACGTTATTGCTAGAGCCCGGTAACAAGGTGACAGTGCATATAATGTCGTCATTGGGATTGATGTGCTCATGGTGCATGATGTCATCGCCATGGGAGAAAAAAAAGGCTTTTCTATTTAGAGATAGTGTTATATCCTCGAGTTTTGGGCAATCCTCTGATCGATCTGCTCCTATTTTTTTGCAGGATAAAAGAATCCTCATATGAGAACTAATTAATATTAAAAACAATCATATTGGACATCTGAATGAGTTATTTTGACTCCCTTGATATAGACAGCTGGATAGAGCTAATGCGTTCATGCTTTCGTCCTTAATTGGAAAGTATAAAAAAGTACAAGGGCAATGGAATTGGCATGATTCACATCAGCAATTGCCATAACGTTAATATCTGAAGTATTATGCTATGAGTGTATCCGATACATTGCAATTTACTACATGATGCAAATACAAAAATATATACGCACATATATATAATATAAACGTGCAGATGAAAAGCGATAAGCCAACGAGCTTTAATTTATATACCATCTAAATGCAACGCATCATAAGACGTTTTACAAAATGTAATAACTACATCAGTGTAAAAACCACAGCACAGCAGGCTGGTCCAGATGTCTTGTGACCCCCCCCCCCCCCCCCCCCCCCCCATTTAATTCTCTAAAACGTTATATTTGTATACCGATGGGGTATGAAAACAGAAATGAATAAGCAGAGGAACAAAACATTTTTAAGGGGCAATTATTTGGCGCGTGGGGGGGGGGTCACAAGATATCTGGACCAACCTGTACTGTTGCTCAGCACTCACAAGCGCAATAACGAGCCCCAGGGACACAGCAGCCAGGGGAGCACCAATGAGTCACGTAACCTATGCAGCCACAGAGGTGCCACGTCCACCTCGATAGGGTAGCACGCGGTTGCATGTCAAGAAAATCCCTCCCAGAAGGCCACGTGGCCGAAGGTACGTGTACAAAGAATACGTTTTTTTTTAATGTGGAAAGGGTGCATATTGTCTGTATATATGTTGAACTTCTTTAGCACCATACCTAGCCAGCCCGTGCTAATCGGAGGGTTGAAGCCTCTGAAAAAAACGTGTCTGCCGCGATCGCCTCTGCGTGCGTGTCCTGCCATCGGCAATGGCCTCTGTTGCTTTTTACTCGCACTACCACCACTGTGGTAACAGCAAACGTTTTTCGAGATCATCTCTGATTCCCCCGTTTACTTATTGCAATATGAATATTACATGACCATGGCATAGTTTCGTTGGTGTCATCATAATAATAATAACACTTGTGTTGCATTAGTTAGATGTCAAACATAACTAACGTGCGTATTGCATTCGGGAAAAGTGGTTATACGTGAAACACCCATCGGGTGGTGGTCCGTATATTTGTTAAATGTATATCTACGTAAAAAAAAACAATCCCCCACAAAGCAGCCTCACAGTTGAGTTTTAGTTGAGCGATTGGCTTTTGCAGTGTGACCAATGTGGTTGGGGTGTGGCAGGCGTATTTCTTTAATGTGTGTGGCTTGGCACAATACCTTAAGCGCTATAATTACCTTCACAAGGCACACCTCACGTCAATTACAGAAAACACGGGGCCTGCCCAATGTTGATTCATCATCAAACACTTGTTGCCCGAGGTAGCAGAATGCAAACATTTTTACGGTTTAAATCCACGAACTTTTACACTCGTAAATGTTTTCTACCACGTCTATATTTAATTACCTTGACATCACTTGTGAGTGTAGTTCACAGTTCTGAAGCAGTCGGCCAAACTCTAAAATTGTTGAACATTTTCTCACGAATGAAAATTTGAATCTAATTAATATTTACAGAGCGCTTGGACTATTTCTTTCTTGAGAAAACTGCCAGAGAGACCTATTATAATCAACATTCATTGAATCAATGTGTGCGCGAATGCGTAAATGAATAAAGAACAATTACAAAACACGATAAGTAATGGTTAACAGCATGTGCGGTCTCGCAACTTGTGCTTTGTGTAGCGGGCAGGAGCGACTTGCTTGAAACCAAATAATCCAATCGGAGCAGTGACGAGGAGAGGAGGAGAAGGGGTGTCTGGACATGGCGGAGGGCGAGGTGGACATCGCATCGCTGGAGGATTCGTTTAAAAAGTTCGCCGTCCTGGGAGACACCAAGGCCACGGGCAAGGAGCTCAACGGCAAAAACTTCGCCAAGCTGTGCAAAGACTGCAAGGTCATCGACGGCAAGGCAATCACATCAACCGACGTCGACATCGCGTTCTCCAAAGTCAAGTGAGTATTTTTGCCACGCGCCAAAGCGCTATGCTCTGGAGACGTGATCACATGGCCGGCGTTTGCTTTTAGACGAACGGGAGAGGGGGGGGTGGTGTGATTTGACAGGGTGGTGCGATGTGATTGCGCGGACGTGGGCAGCCAAGGTTTCGTTTCCCATTCAATGTTGAGCACGTTTCGTGCATTAGATCCGGTGGCTTAACGGGAGCTGTCCGGCTGACGTCACGGTGACGAAATTCGGGGGGTGAACGGTGTCATGTCTGGACTCCGCGTACGTCACAGCTGATGATTGGAGCCTTTCTCCAAGCTCGGGCTTGCGAGCGTGAGATGCGATACCTCCTTAACACATGCCAATCGATATCTTGCAAATTTTTTTTCGATAATTTCTTCTGTTAATATCTCTTGCCCAAGTGTTTTTCTTTCACAGATTCTCATTTTTGTTTTCTAATCCGCTAACTTAATGCCATGCGTGTGTTTGACTTAACCCAGGTGTGTTCTACATTACACTACTTTGAAAGGTTCATGAGTGTGAGACAGACTGCTTAATTGAAGACATACGGTGCTCAACTTGTAAAGCATTACTAGGCTTGGCCCTTATGCCCTGAGCTGTGTAGCCATTGCACAGAAGCAGTGGGTGTACGGTGGGTGGGACATCTCTGCCAAACTCAACCTGGCCTCAGGTGCGGAGCAGCACCAAGTGGTTGTTTTAAAATTATCTTGTCAGTAGCTTCAGGGTGTTCACTCTTCATTCTGTACTGTACTTCGTATATATTTATTTGAAGCTCAGGAGCTCCAGGTTTCATCACTGTTGTTGAAGTGTTAAAGATTTGCCATGCTGGAGAGTTTGAGGTCTCGTCCCATTTTTTTCCTTGAACTGATAAACAATTTACTCGGTAGGAGACTTGAACGAGAACCATAAGCATTGGCGAATGCGACAACCGATCGTAAAGAGTGTACATTTAAGCGGAAACGGCCGCCACCAAGATGGCTAAATTGTGCTTACTGCCCAGCGTCCTGTTGGGGAACGCTCCTGTGCAGTGTCCAAGCCACCACCTGTCCCTTGCACCTGCCTTGGTGATGTTTGCAGTGCACAAAAGGGTTTGGCTTAAAGACAATGTGGACAATGCGGGCAATCCAGCGTCACCTGTTTTTCTGGTGCCGCTTTTTTTCGGCTGCGTCGTTTTGCTGTGTGCCCCCCGTGGTCATCGACGGCCATGCCGAGTGGAACCTTCCCGCAAATGCACATCGGTCTCGCCCTTTACAGAGGATACCATTCACCGTCAAGCAGCTGGCATGCGGCCTCCGTGGCGTTTGGGTTGCCATGAGAATGGAAGGCTGTTTAGGGTAGAATTGGGGGTCAGAGCAAAGTGCAAGCGTGGTGCTGCTATCAGTTTTAAATGTTCAGCACGTTTTTGCGTCTCCATTTTACTGTTGTTGTGGAGACCCATGGTGATCGTAAATATGTGTACAAAATATTCCAACGAACCTTTCTTTGAGGGCTAAATTATACGCCGTTTGTTGTTGTGTTTTTTACGATAATGTAGTTTGGTTTTATTATTTAGGAATGTCAAGTTTCATCTGCGTGGTAATTCAATTAATTGTCGTGATTTGTGGTTGCAGTATTGTGTACACCGTTCGCATAAATGTATATTATTTGGATATAATGTTCACGAATCATAAGGCATGGATTTTTCCATGCACAATTCAATGCATTTATGGTGAGTGCAGGAATAAGTTTTCATCGTTCTGTCTTTACATGCTTTCTACTTAGTCTTATTTCACGAAGCGGATGTCACAGCACTATTTTTGAGATCTACATGAACAGTCTAACTGACTTTTCTTTTCGAATTTAGCAAAATTAAGTGCAAAACTATTTTAACATGATGGCTGCTATTGGGTAGCTATAGCTACTCTTAGGTAACTTCATATGATAATTTTAAAACTGGTCATCAGAAAACAATATAATATATTCTCATCAAGGTCCTGTTGTTTAAAGTGCAGTCTCAAACTCTTTTTTCCCTCTCTCTAGCCTCTTTTTGCGCTATGAAGACGTGTCATTGCCAAAAACGTCACCTATTATATAGTTTTCCTTTCAAAGGCAATGTTATTGATTGACATGTTTAGTTTTTTTGTTCATGATTTTATTTTTGTAGTAATTTGTTGATATGACCTGAGACTGACCATACATTGACGTAATTTGAGAACCCAATTTAATCACAAGTGATCCGCCTGAATTCACGCTCATCCCAGATACGTATTTGACATGTGAATAACTGAAAATTGGTAATCATTGCAAGTTTATTACAGTTTATATGGGTTCCTCTGTGGCAATGCTATTTCCTTTGCCTGGTATGGAGGAGGTCGTGGATTCAATCCCGGACCCTGATGATTCCTGTATATTTGGAATTTGCGTGTTCTCTCTCCCCATGGTCGTTTGGATTTTTCTCCGGGTCTTCCGGCTTTGCCCTGCACATTTATAAACGGGTGTTTAGATTATTTGGCTGCTACTATAAATCCCCACAAAGGGATATAAGGCACTTTGGTGAGCTATCATGTGTGGCTTGGTCACCTCTGAAAAATAGCTAATCGTTCAGTACCTGGTAAATGAAATAGTTTAGTTTAGATACATGAGGCCTACATTTTAAGAAATTGTAAACGTTTACGTATATTGGTGTTTAAGATTAACTTTTCTGAGAAGCCTGAGAAATATTCACCTGCTCATTGCATTAGATGTTTAAGTACCTTTTACATTTACTCAAATATACAATACGTATACAATACGTATGACTGTGAGTAGAAATGTACCTTTTTATTCAAATCAAATAATAAAACGTTCCATTATTTGATAATCTACTGGATGTAAAGGCCTCCCCTTGCCACGTTGGTCATGGGGTTTTTTTGACCATGCTTCGCTGTGCTGATTTGTGCTTAATAGGTCTGGTGGTGGGAGGGGGGTACCCCAGCCCTATTTCTGATGTTACTCAACACTGAATTAAATTCTGGGTTACTGGGTTTAAAGTCTTATTGAATGATCGCATACGCTACCATTCCCACCCCTCCATTCCAAAAATGCTCAAAGTATTAAAAATCAACAAATACAGGATGTGTCATAGTGCAATTTGTATGCGGTGTTGTGGTGGCGATTGCTGAAAATATTACAAATTCTCAAAGTTTACTGGCATGGAAAAACCCCACAAATGTTAAATAACATGTTTTTAAGAGTAGGGGGGCAACGTCGTTTGTCATATTTGGAAAACGCTTAAAACATTCCTTCGAGCATTTTGTTGCAAAATATTATTCCCCCTTGCTCACGTGTTTAAAAGCCTTTTGCACCGATGGAGTGAGCGTGGATTGCAGCTGCGACTCACATAGGTGGCCCAGACAAACACGCGATTCGGCCAAACGTGAAATTTATTCAATCGCCTTTTCGCTTAAGTTGGCAGCACGTGTGTGTGCGCGCAGCAGGCTACCATGTCTTACCTCATAGGGTAAAGCAAGCTAAAGGGTTTCTCTCGATACCCCGTTTAAGTGTAGGTGATGTTGAATATTTTAAAGAAAACAAATCGCCAAGTATCAAATATTCATGGTCCTTTCATTCATCACCACCTGTGCTTTGTAACTGTTGTACAGAGGAGACCCCAGCAGTTCAGAAATTTGTCGCTATGCAGGGGGTTGTGATTCCATTTCAAAATAGATTCATTTTGTTAACTTATTGTGGTGAAAGTAGCAGCCTTGTAGGGGTCACATAAACCCATTACGTACAATATACACGGACCGATAAACCATTTGTACACGCTCAAATTGATGCCTGTAATCGATTAATTGATTCTTCGTTACAGCTCCAACCTTGTACACAACCGGAAGCACGATATAGTTTATAGAGCAACCATGTCCAGTTTGCGAGGTTATCAGTTCAGATCCTGCTGAGTGTCACCTCGATCAATCATCCCTCCAAAGTCGGTAAAACGAGCACCGCGTGGCGAAGCTGCACCCATTGGGTGGAAGGTTGCAGACGGTAGAAATGTTTAAAGTCTACCTTTGACTCAAGATTGAGAGCAGAAATAAGTACCACCCATAGCTCATTGGAACATTGGGACACCATGACTAGCATACTCCATATGACGAAGGGGGGTATACAAGAAAAAGATTGTCATGTCATGAACACATGCATGAGCTTTGCCGTTTTTGCTGTCTTAATTTGTTTCAACACTTGTCTCATTTTGTCGTTGTCACTGAAAAAAATGGCAGAGTGATGAGAATCGAGGCTTTTGTGGGAACGAGTTGGATTACATCTGCAAACGAACAGAGGTTGTGTGCACAGGATGTTCTTTGTCTGATGGTTCACACGCCAGATGGTTATCGCAATCATGGAGGGGACCCGTATTGTATTTCGGTGGTTCCCGCGATTATCACCCCCTTGCCGATGCTGATAATACTGTGCAGGTCACTGCAAAAACCTCGGACCCTTTTCATTATAGTAAACAATTACCGCTGGGCGGTGGTGGCGCATGCCTTAAATCCGGCACCATGCAGGAAAGGGTTGACGGATCGCCCGAGGTGCCATACCCTGGCTCGCCAGGAGAAGGCTGTACAGCAAGTGGGCTAATTGCCATCTGTTTCAATCTTCTGTGAGAGTGTTGCCCCTTTGCTTGCTTTCATCTTCTCCCGGTGCTCCGGTTTCCTCCCGCACATATAAACACTCATCATTAATTGACTGAAAACATATTAAAATAAAAAAGAGCATGGCTTTCCTCGATAGATAAATAATGGCAATAGTTGGTGTGTTATCATCATCAGTGTCGGTTTGTAACGCAGGATTCACAACAAAACACATATACCTCTGTACTTCCATGTATAATTTAACACCATCATGTAAACGTTTATTAAGTAGAGATAGAATTCACTCAACTGAATTTGAGTTTTATCCACTTGTGTATACATGGATTTATTTCTGGGCCACTCCAGTCCCCCGCCACGCTAAAACACTCAATAGAGATATTAGAAAACCTGTGTGTAAGGCTTGAGGCTCGATGAAGCTTTCCTGGATGACCATGAGTCAACTTGTTTCCTTGTTGAAGTGACCATGGAGTATTGCTCAATCTATATAGATGTTTACAAATACGACTCTCTGCACGTGCAGAGATGTGTTCTCAATCTCGCGTACATTCTCTTCTAAATGACATTAAAGCATTGTGCTATATTTACAGTGAGGGAAAAAAGTATTTGATCCCCTGCTGATTTTGTACGTTTGCCCACTGACAAGGAAATGTTCAGTCTAATTTTAATGGTAGGTTTATTTGAACAGTGAGAGACAGAATAACAACAACAAAAATCCAGAAAAACGCATGTCAAAAATGTTATGAATTGATTTGCATTTTGACGAGGGAAATAAGTATTTGACCCCCTCTCAATCAGAAAGATTTCTGGCTCCCAGGTGTCTTTTATACAGGTAACGAGCTGAGATTAGGAGCACACTATTAAAGGGAGTGCTCCTAATCTCAGCTTGTTACCTGTATAAAAGGCACCTGTCCACAGAAGCAATCAATCAGATTCCAAACTCTCCACCATGGCCAAGACCAAAGAGCTCTCCAAGGATGTCAGGGACAAGATTGTAGACCTACACAAGGCTGGAATGGGCTACAAGACCATTGCCAAGCAGCTTGGTGAGAAGGTGACAACAGTTGGTGCGATTATTCGCAAATGCGAAGGTTTCGAGGCTGATGTTTGGCAACTCGAACCTTCAGCTCCCTCCACAGATTTTCAATAGGATTAAGGTCTGGAGACTGGTTAGGCCACTCCAGGACCTTAATGTGCTTCTTCTTCAGCCGCTCCTTTGTTGCCTTGGCCGTGTGTTTTGGGTCATTGTCATGCTGGAATACCCATCCACGACCCATTTTCAATTCCCTGGCTGAAGGAAGGGAGGTTCTCACCCAAGATTTGACGGTACATGGCCCCGTCCATCGTCCCTTTGATGCGGTGAAGTTGTCCTGTCCCATTAGCAGAAAAACACCCCCAAAGCATAATGTTTCCACCTCCATGTTTTATGATGGGGATGGTGTTCTTGGGGTCATAGGCAGCATTCCTCCTGCAAACACGGCGAGTTGAGTTGATGCCAAAGAGCTCCATTTTGGTCTCATCTGACCACAACACTTTCACCCAGTTGTCCTCTGAATCATTCAGATGTTCATTGGCAAACTTCAGATGGGCATGTATATGTGCTTTCTTGAGCAGGGAGACCTTGCGGGCGCTGCAGGATTTCAGTCCTTCACGGCGTAGTGTGTTACCAATTGTTTTCTTGGTGACTATGGTCCCAGCTGCCTTGAGATCATTGACAGGATCCTCCTGTGTGGTTCTGGGCTGATTCCTCACCGTTCTTATGATCATTGCAACTCCACGAGGTGAGATCTTGCATGGAGCCCCAGGCCGAGGGAGATTGACAGTTCTTTCGTGTTTCTTCCATTTGCGAATAATCGCACCAACTGTTGTCACCTTCTAACCAAGCTGCTTGGCAATGGTCTTGTAGCCCATTCCAGCCTTGTGTAGGTCTACCATCTTGTCCCTGACATCCTTGGAGAACTCTTTGGTCTTGGCCATGGTGGAGAGTTTGGAATCTGATTGATTGCTCCTGTGGACAGGTGCCTTTTATACAGGTAACAAGCTGAGATTAGGAGCACTCCCTTTAAGAGTGTGCTCCTAATCTCAGCTCGTTACCTGTATAAAAGACACCTGGGAGCCAGAAATCTTTCTGATTGAGAGGGGGTCAAATACTTATTTCCCTCATTAAAATGCAAATCAACTTATAACATTTTTGACATGCGTTTTTCTGGATTTTGTTGTTATTTTGTCTCTCACTGTTCAAATAAACCTACCATTAAAATTATAGACTGATCATGTCTTTGTCAGTGGGCAAACGTACAAAATCAGCAGGGGATCAAATACTTTTTTCCCTCACTGCATAGCATTTTGAAGTTCGTTTTTGTGTATGGCTTGACCGTCGTTTTCTCTAGATATTCACATATCCAATCTTTTCACATATCCGCCAAAAGTCGAGTCCCCAGTGGGTCGAATATGCTATGTTGTTCTGTGTACTCAGCCCATCAACCCTATAGGATGGGCTAAGTCGACCCGTGACCAGGATGTAAATTCGAAACCTTTGGAAATTTTTGGCCGTGCTTTCTACCCACAGCATTAGGTGGGCAGACAAGTAAAGGGGCCGCGGTTATCGGTAATTTTTACGGGTAATTTCACCGCAATGCAAGCGGTGCATTGTCTGAGTGGGTGCTGTCTGCGTGTGACCCTCTCCCTGGCACACCGGCAGACAGAAGGCGGCACGGGTGATCACGTTCGAAGAGTTCAAGGAGGCGCTTCAGCAACTCTCGTGTAAACGCTTCAAGGACAAGGATGAGCAGGAGGCCCTAGAGGAGACGTACAAGCTCATCGCTGGGAAGTCCCCCATCATCCATGGGGTCACGGTACGGCAGCGCACCTGGAGGCGGAAAGACAAGAGGACTCTTCTTGCAGTCCCGTTAGCTTGTTGGGGGATAGTGCTTTTAACCCTTTCCTGTTCCGTTGACGGACGTATACGTCATTCGTTTTTCTTCGAATTCAGTTCCAATGACGTACGTGCGACATCGTACGTGTACACCTTAGGAAGGAAACTGGAAGAAAAACGAAAATAAAATAACTTTTATGGGTACCGAGGTTCCCACAAGGCCACGCGGGAGGGCGTGTGAAACAGTTTGGCGCCAGCTGTCATAGAGTGCGGTGGTCGTGTCGCTACTGTTCTCTGCGGTGAGTGGACTGTCTTTAAAATCAGCGACGCTACGCCTGTATAAATAAAATTAACGCTGAGTTGCTTGCGTACTCCAAAATTCAGAGGTGAACGGGACCCAACCCTGCAAGTTGCAGACATCTCAGAACGGGAAAGGGTTAAGTGAGCACCTGTTAAGGTTGGAATGGCACAATCCTGCCTTGAATGCTCTCTCATCTTGGATTGATTCTAACTTCCTCCAGCTAGATGTTGTCATAACTGAAGTACTTCTAATCGACCAAAAGTCCCACCACTGTCGCTGAAATTACACTTGCAAAGAGTGTGGGAACCTATCTCAGCTCCGTCTGTGCAACATCTTCCCTTACAGTGAGGGAAAAAAGTATTTGATCCCCTGCTGATTTTGTACGTTTGCCTACTGACAAAGAAATGATCAGTCTATAATTTTAATGGTAGGTTTATTTGAACAGTGAGAGACAGAATGACAACAACAAAATCCAGAAAAACGCATGTCAAAAATGTTATAAATTGATTTGCATTTTAATGAGGGAAATAAGTATTTGACCCCCTCTCAATCAGAAAGATTTCTGGCTCCCAGGTGTCTTTTATACAGGTAACGAGCTGAGATTAGGAGCACACTCTTAAAAGGAGTGCTCCTAATCTCAGCTTGTTACCTGTATAAAAGGCACCTGTCCACAGAAGCAATCAATCAGATTCCAAACTCTCCACCATGGCCAAGACCAAAGAGCTCTCCAAGGATGTCAGGGACAAGATTGTAGACCTACACAAGGCTGGAATGGGCTACAAGACCATTGCCAAGCAGCTTGGTGAGAAGGTGACAACAGTTGGTGCGATTATTCGCAAATGCAAGAAACACAAAAGAACTGTCAATTTCCCTCGGCCTGAAGCTCCATGCAAGATCTCACCTCGTGGAGTTGCAATGATCATGAGAAGGGTGAGGAATCAGCCCAGAACTACACGGGAGAATCTTGTCAATGATCTCAAGGCAGCTGGGACCATAGTCACCAAGAAAACAATTGGTAACACACTATGCCGTGAAGGACTGAAATCCTGCAGCGCCCGCAAGGTCCCCCTGCTCAAGAAAGCACATATACATGCCCGTCTGAAGTTTGCCAATGAACATCTGAATGATTCAGAGGACAACTGGGTGAAAGTGTTGTGGTCAGATGAGACCAAAATGGAGCTCTTTGGCATCAACTCAACTCGCCGTGTTTGGAAGAGGAGGAATTCTGCCTATGACCCCAAGAACACCATCCCCACCGTCAAACATGGAGGTGGAAACATTATGCTTTGGGGGTGTTTTTCTGCTAAGGGGACAGGACAACTTCACCGCATCAAAGGGACGATGGACGGGGCCAGGGGCGGAGCCAGGGGGGGGTGACAGGGGTGACATTCTGCGTATAAGTGTACGACACTCGGTCTGGCGGACTCCGTGCAACTGCATTGTCAGAGTGTGTCGCCAACCGATGGCGTCTAGTTCAACAGCCTGACTCTCTAATCATTCTTGAAATTAAAATTTGTTGAATATCACCCCGGCCTGAAATCCCGCTCCGCCCCTGTACGGGGCCATGTACCGTCAAATCTTGGGTGAGAACCTCCTTCCCTCAGCCAGGGCATTGAAAATGGGTCGTGGATGGGTATTCCAGCATGACAATGACCCAAAACACACGGCCAAGGCAACAAAGGAGTGGCTCAAGAAGAAGCACATTAAGGTCCTGGAGTGGCCTAGCCAGTCTCCAGACCTTAATTCCATAGAGAATCTGTGGAGGGAGCTGAAGGTTCGAGTTGCCAAACGTCAGCCTCGAAACCTTAATGACTTGGAGAAGATCTGCAAAGAGGAGTGGGACAAAATCCCTCCTGAGATGTGTGCAAACCTGGTGGCCAACTACAAGAAACGTCTGACCTCTGTGATTGCCAACAAGGGTTTTGCCACCAAGTACTAAGTCATGTTTTGCAGAGGGGTCAAATACTTATTTCCCTCATTAAAATGCAAATCAATTTATAACATTTTTGACATGCGTTTTTCTGGATTTTTTTTGTTGTTATTCTGTCTCTCACTGTTCAAATAAACCTACCATTAAAATTATAGACTGATATTTCTTTGTCAGTGGGCAAACGTACAAAATCAGCAGGGGATCAAATACTTTTTTCCCCTCACTGTATCTGCTGTTTTCTTACTCCAGCTGTCACTATTGCAACTCTATTCTCGACGGCCTCCCCAAACCTCTCATCTCCAAAACTAGTGTTGCTGCTTCTATACTTCTCATCCACACTTGTAAACAAGACCACATCATAATATTCCAATCCCCCAAACTAATTCCAATTCTCAGTCTAATGCCAGGTTAATTTCAAGATCCCACTCACCATCTTCAAAATGCACGTTTCCATCTCGCACTACTCCCCCCTTCCACACACCCTCTACTCCAGCAAACAAGGATTTCTGTGAAAGTCAACCTTCGCCCAGTTTGAGGTCGCCCTTTCTCCTCTACCATCCCAGTCGTCTCGAACTCCCTTAACCCAGCCATCTATGATGTCGACTTCCCTGCCCAATAAAAATTGTAGCCGCAAGTGGACTTATTTCAATCTGTTTCCATCTGCACGGGGCATAGAGCATTTCCCTCTCACACACGTGGGTTTTCTCAGGATGGTCCGGTTACCTCCCACCTGTACAATAAATACTTAATAATAATTTGGCTGAACGAATATTTTAAAAAAAAACAAGACCCTCCTGAAAAAAGAGTGAGACTATCCTGGATAAACAAGTCATTTTTCTTTCATCCAGGCTCAAGACTTTTATTTTTTCTCCACAAACGAATGCCTCTATATCTACGTGAATATTTGAATATCCCCCCCCCCCCCCCCACTAATTTCTACAGAGTCATGAGGTGCAGTTGCATTTCGAAACTATTTAAACCCAAGTTGCATTTTATTGTACGAGTCAACCTTGGGGGCGGCTCTGCACAGGTTCACAGAACACTTGATCGTAGCCATGATCAGGGAGGCAAACTCAGGGAACATGCTTCGTAGTGAAGTGGACTAACCACTATGCCAACACTCCACATTTATATATTATATATATAAAAAAGACAAAGATCCCCCGTATAGCCTTAACAGACTGTTGGGACAAGTGTTGTTGGTGAGCATCTATGAAGGTCGGCACAGCACACGAGGGGGTGGGTGGCCAACACCACGCCCGCGTCTACCTAGTGGTGATATTTACACATTGCACAAGGTACTCATTTGAGGCTGAGTCGACCTAGGGGAGGAGACCCATATCCGGTTCAGATAATAATTTACTAGCATTGGCCGTGAGCAGGAATCGAACTCAGGTCGCCGGCTTCGTTGAAGAGCGTGCTCACCATTGCTCTACCGCTCCCATACATATATTTGTGTTGGTACGCACACACATAAAAACACACACACACAAATAAAAGCATTGGCCAAACATGAAGGAGAATAATGCAGCTCGGCTTTTTATGTTTTGACAGATTAAGAGATATGGCAATGGCAGTCTCAGCCAGTAGAAAAATGCACCAGAGTCGAGCCAGAGAACTGCAATTTGAAACGCGCGGTTCCTAGGCAGAAAAATTAGTTGACTAACTTTTGTTTTCAGACGCGTGTAATTTCATCAGTTATTGGTGAATTTAATTTTAGCTAAGTCTTTTCAGCATTGCGGCATCAAATGTGTACTGTAATTTGCTTTTTCGCAATGACTGCCCCTGGCAGGCATGGGTTTCTGGGTTCGCAGCATGAGGACTATAGGATTAACAAGGCTGTGGTCGGAGATGTTACAGTGGGGCTTGGCAGGCTGTGTCGTATTTCCTTTCTTTTTTTTTAAGTCCCGTGTGCTTGTAAATGCAATACCGCGCATCTTAATTTAAGCATCGCGTCTTAAAAATCGTTTTGGCACGAAGGAGGGGGGGGGGGGTGATCCATGGGTCGTGGGGGGGGGACTGTTTGCTGATTGCATGAAAGCTGGTTGCTGGAAGGCACAGTCACATTATCATCCATGACACAGCGCGGCAGGGGCGATGGTGATTACACCCCATCCCCGTGTGCCGGTTACAAAGCCTCGCGGTCGTTTAGTTTACGTTGCCCCCCCTCTCTGCTGCTTGGTCTCGGGCCTCATTGCGAGCACCGCTCGGGCGTGCAGTCTCAATCTGCTTAATATAAAACAGCAAATACAAGTCTGTCTCGCCCGCCTTGTTTTGCCCAAAACGTCTTGGAAACGCGCACAACTCTGCGCTCAGTTGCCCCGGGTTACTGAAAGCACATGGCCTCATCCAGCGACGCTCACACCGACCACACGCTAAGAAAGCCTTTACCCTTCACCCGCGAGTGACCGCAAAAGCCGGTTCTGCCGAGACGTTCACTTGGCGCTGGGTAAAGTGCGGGCGGGGGTGGGGGGGGGCACATGGCGAGACTAAGCTGCCATGGGTTTGCTCTTCGGCCATGCGCCCTGCTTGTGTTGGGCGTAACGAGGGTGGATGGGAGCTCGCTCTCGCCTGGGCACGGTTAAGTGCTGGCGAGCTAGGGACCATGCTGGCTATAACCATCGGTTTCCCAACATCTGCGAGTCCTCTACTCCCCACTTACCCTCCTGCCCCCTCCGTCCGTCCGACCGTCTGTCCGCTCTAGAACACACGTGCTTTTGTTCTTACGCGAACGACGGTGAGCGGAGTGAGACAGGGTGTTGGTTCTTAGAGGAGTGCCCGTGGCCCACCATTCAAGTGGCAGAAAGTAACTTGAGAGTAATGTTGGTGAGCACACACGTTTGCAAAGTCTCCGCGAGGATGAATGAGGCTCTTCTTTGTGTGCATTGGATCATCCGCAAGTAAAAGGTGCTGCATAATCCAGTGCAATTTCTTTGCAGAATTTCTCTCGGCTTATCCCTGCGTGATAGACGCGACGTGAATTTCGTGAGAAACTTATCCGTTCATTCTGCTCGTGCATTAGCCGAGGTTTCTCTGGCTTGTCCAACTTATTTTCTCTTTGATCTTCTTTTGTAAAGGCGTTTGGAAAAAAAAATTACCGTGGAAAACCAGCCCACGCAGATAATGAGACCCATCTTGTTTATTTTTTGTTGTACCAGAAACGATGTGGTTGCTAATTCAGTGTGCGTGTGTCAGAGGGAACATGCCCTAACGCAGTCTTAATGGTTTATTTCTGAAACTGTTGCTGGGCTACAAGAGAGACACTCCAGACATTAAGGCTCATGCATTTGTCGTGCCATCAGGCCGGATAATTAATGTTTTTTCTCACGAAGAAATAGGAAAAGGTATCGTGTTTCCATTAAATTTTCACGTTAAACGTTTTCTGGATTTGGCATTGGTGCGACGACGACTCATCGAAACCGAGACGCATTCACGGACAGAATGGGTGCCCTGGCCCAACTGTTAACAATTTATTCTGCGCATTAACAATGCAGTCAGTTTGGCCAGGAGAGGGGTAGATCTTGTTGGCGTTTTACGTTGAACTAAATATCACGGCGTGATAAAGCGTGTCGGGGTAAAGGCTGCAGCGCTCCCGAGCGACTACCCTCCCCACCGTGGCATTTCACGGTGATGTGTGTGATTGCCATTTCACGTCTGTTTATGGGCAATAAATGCTTCATAGGGAAACCAAAACGCTGTAAAGCTGACGGCGAAATTGTGATCTCAGTGGTGTCGGTTGCCTGGCGACAGGCTGTTGCAGTCCTCATAAAATGTGTTTTGTTAAAGGTTATCTTGCTTTGAAAGGCAGAGTGGAATGATGACAGAGCCAAGTTTCAAGTATTGCACAGCTTAATAATTTATCTTTATTTTTCAGAGGTTTGACGCTCGCCACAATTTTAATAAGATTTTCAGGTTTTATTTATTATCTGCTTTCAAAGGAATAATAAGCAAACCGGAAATTATGGAGTCTCAGGATGATATTTTCAGGACAGTCTAAAGTTGATAGTTTGTCAATTTTGTGTTGGTAACTAGTTACTTGTCAGAATCAGAATATTTATTTACACTGGGGGCATCTGATGGGCTATTAAGCTCTTTTTCACAGATGTCCATTAGGGATGGGTAAGACTCACACATTTAAGCAGATAGCATTCAAACTTCAGTTAGAACGGACACCTACTTGCAGGTTCTGCCTTTTTAAAAGCTCTTGTGTCCATGTAGCTGGGTATCAGTTGCACACGATGTTTACGTGACCCACCAACCCTCCCTCGCTCCCTACCAAACTGCTGCTGTACAGGGTGATGTGACGGCTTGGCCAGCCTACGAAAAAAGTTAAACATTTCCGTAAAGAGGTCTTGTTTTAAGAGCAATATTCAACCACAATTGCATTCCACAAATGATATTAAGTATTTCGGCATGAAAAACAATGTTGTAAGATACTTTGGGGAAAATGTGTTAAGAAGTAGTGCCGTTATTAAAGTATCCCGCCCAGATGGTCACTGTACGCGAGGACCTTGGGGGGGTTGGGTGCCGACTTAGCAGCAGCAGCAACAACGACGAGGGCTGGCATGAGGAAAGAGGCGAAAGAGAAATGTGTTGGCCTCAAAGGCGAAATGCCGTTATGACCTCTTGGTATGAACCCTGGATTGTGCTATAATAAAATCGCGACATCTCCAACTAACAGTAATACTTTAACGAGAGTACATTTCCTTAAGACACACACGCGCACACACGTGCACTTTGGGGACGTCCTTTAACAGAGTGTGCCGTTTACAAGGGCGTTTGCTAAATCTGTGAGCAATTACGCAGTCAAGTGGCCGGTAACCATTTTACACGGCCCCTGTTATGTCTACGGGGAGTTTGTTGGATCATGGGGTCTGCGGCTGGTGTCACAATGTTCCACAGTCTTTGCACGATAGACTTTCTTCTAATGAAATGCATCGCTACCAAATAGGTGCTTGACTCTTCCATACTCGACATATTACATAATGCCTTGAATATGCTCAAAGTACAAAGGGGGTTGATGCACCATGAAAGAAATGGGCATTCCGCCCCCACCCCTACTCCCAGTCCAAAGGTCATCTCTGGACTGTTTTCTTTTTTTGAAACACTGAACACCATGTGCACACAATCAGTGTAAAATGTCTTGCCAAGGAACACGGCCAGCTCCAGTCCCGATTAAACTCCGCAGCTAATGTGCTGTCACATTAATCGCCTCCGTAGCATAATTTTAATTCATACGTCCAGTTACAAAAGGAGGAAGGAACGATCCGATGCTTGGGGAATGTACGACGACAGGAGGGCCGTCTGACTATTTAACGTGCCTGTGTTTTGCTGCCAGTCTTGAGCGAATATGAAATGAGGACCATGGCTTAGCGTAACGTCCGTTGTGGATTTCCCTTGCTGGTAATACCAAGGCAGGGTATTCATTATACCGGCGGTGGTCAATGAGGAACCACAGTTAAACAGAGCACATGCCGTGACTAGAGCTGCTGGGTGGAATTGAGTGCGTGTGTCAAACTCCCTTAATGAAAAGCGATTGGCAAATGGGGCCCGCACCTGCCCACGCATCGCGGAGGAGCGCAGGATTTGCTCATGCCCACGTCCCCGCTTGGCCCCTCGCTTCACCGTCCCGAGCCGCCGCCGCCACCCCCCCCACCCTCTGTGCCCACAACCTCCACGATTTATGGGCTTGGGGAATGAAGTGGGGCAACGTCCGTCGCAAGTGTGCGATGCATTATTGAAAAGGAAATTGGGCAACAGGAGTAAGTTGCAGCGGTTAATGAACGGAAGTAAATTAGTTTTGTTCAAACAATATTGCCGTTTCATCCGACTCTGCATATGCACGAACCTGAGTGGACAGAGGGAGGTGATGATGGGGTTAACTGCATGTTGTTTTTTCGAAGGTTAATATTTCACCTGGGTAGGAGAACTTTCAAGTTGCGTTTGCACGACTGCACAATGGTGTTTTGCTGACAATTGTGTTGAATACAAGTTACAATGCACACCCGTATGAATCCTAATGATGGAGTACATCGTTTATGTAGGAGTTGCATTGGGTTATGCCTTACCTTTAGTCGTGGCTTTATGTATTCGTACATGTACACTATTTTTGCCTGGTCATTTTGTGGTTCTGTGTGTCTGGATATATGTATATAGTGTTCTGTCTGGTCTATGGTTCTGTGTTTAAGTATACAGTATTCCGATAGTATTTATATTGTTTATAGATGATTGTGTTAAAAAATCAGTCTTCTGCCTGATATATTAGCTTCTCTGTATTTACATGCACGCCGTTGTTATAGCGCGACTATATGCGCAGGCAGCCTATATATATAAAATATTAGAAGACATGGGCTTTGAGATTAATGCGGTTGTCTTTTTGTCCAACACCCCAAACGCTATTCCTGGCATTCCTTTCAGCGCTGAGGGTTTTGGCCCAGGTTTCCCGATTTTGTGGCCGAAAAAGGTCATCTTTCCACCACATTTTCGAGCTGTAACCAGGCAACGGTAAAAAAAAAATCTATTTCTTCAAATACTCCCGAAGTCACATTTTACACATGTAAAATGAGCGTGCTTTTAAAATTTATTGAACTCCATTTCCAAGACATACATTGCATAATCCAGGCCCCATCTGGTCTGTTTCATGTATGCGCCATGTTTTTATGCTGTTGCTGTATCGCAGAGCCGATCAATTAAAGCAGCCACATTCCCAGCCGAACTGATGCCAATGCCCAGAGAAAACCCACACATTTGAGGTTAACAGTCAAAAACCCACAGATAGGTCAACCCACTCGATGTTCTATGTTTTATCCTAACTGCATCCTCACAAGTCTCCCATAAACCTCTAAAACACCGCAATAGAGACTTGCACACCACTATTGAATAAGTCCTAACTCTGCTTGTCTGTTGTGTTGTACACCACCCACGTATCCGTTAATTTGTGGACTCATCCTCTCGTCGGCCTGCCACCTGGATTGGCGACACCGCAGAAGGCAACAAACAAGGGCGGTGTTGGCCGGCTGACGGATCCCTCCAAGTACACGGGAACGCACAAGATGCGGTTCGACGAGACCGGCAAGGGGAAGGGCAAGGCGGGCCGGGAAGATATCCCCGACACGCGAGGATACGTGCACAGCTACAGGGACGCCGGCACGTACGACCAGAAAGTGAAAGGTGCCGTCGCGTCTCCCAATGCCAAGAAGACCTAACGGCACGGGGCTACCTGGCCCACGGTCACCATATTTTCCCTGCCTCACTTTCCACTAGGTCACTCGTCCAAATAAATAGCTTTTAAAAGTATGTTTTTTTCACGAAAAGAGGCATTTACGGATTCGTACACGTGTGGAATTTAGCAGGGAAAATAGTGTACCCTCTGTATTTGAGTCTTTTTTTTTCCCGAACTGCTTTCCCAAGCAGACGTTTCTACTGCTAGTTAACTTCCTCTGCCACGTCGATGCATATAAATATAAAGCCTAACATTACATTGCCAATATATGTAACTGCTGCCATCCTATGCCTTATCAGTTAAAAGGTTAAAAATGAACAGAGCGCTGGAAGGAATTGTGACCAAAGTGACACAGATATTCATTTTGTCTCTCCCCCTGGCTTAATGGTGGTGCTTGCTAATAATGAAACAGGTACAGTACAAAGACTACCCTGCACTCCACCCCTCAGGGATGAGTGTGCCAGCCGAGGTTTTTGGTTTCTGGTTGTAGGGAGATACCTTACACCATTCCCCTAACACATGCACGTATGTGTGTGCACGCGTGTACAGCTGTAGTGAAACCACTTCCGCCCCCACCCCACATAAAAGTGCGACGGGGACTTTTATATAACTTTCGAAAATAACACATCCACGTACAAAACGAGATGATAGCACAGGTTGAAGCCAAGTAATAATGGTAATTGAATGCCCATCGGTCTCGAGTGGCAAATGTCAAACTGAAGACGTCAAACTAGGCACAATTGTTTTGTCCAACACTTAGTATTTGTTTATTTGTCCAAGGAAGCCTCAATGAGTCTTAAGACTTTCACGAAGGGGGTTTGAATGGGCACCTGTCACAATGCCTGTGTCTGCTGAAATTTGGACATTTACAGGCAAGATCGCAGCTCATAACTTGCCCGCTTGACATCTAAGCCCACTTTGTAAGGCTTTAACGTCTACCTTTTGAGGATTTAAATTTTTATTGAACACATGCTGTGCAGTATATTGTTTTTACATTACATTATACTGTAGTTGTTAAGTTATATACAGCGTGGGGTTCAGTTTACATGCTTGTATCCGCACTGTGCAAGGGGCACACACTTCCATTTGGACTTTCATCAACTCCCACAATCGAATTTAATGCAAAATGTGTGAGCGGAGTGGTGGTGAGGAGAGAGACTCAACTGAGACTGAAGTGTCATTACATGTACGTCAGGCTTGGCCTGTGCACACCTGATGCCCCTTTACATTAGGAAATGGCCCAGCTTTTCATAATTTGATTTTTTCCACCTGCTTGGTGAAGTCTGGGAAGCCAGGCAGCGGCCGGTTTAGCAAGTGGAAGCGAAGTTCAAGTTCGTAGGTGCAGTGCTTGTATCGGTACAACCTGTTTACTCACAGGAGATCCTGCCTTGCTTTACGTTTATAACAAAGCATTACCGTGAACCTCGCTTATTTGCAGTTGGAAGTGTTGACCTTGTCTTTTTTTTTCAAAGAAAATCAAAAGTAAGATATTTTAGTCTTTTAAGAGATGGGAATGTTTAAATATATGAAGTGCTATAGGCATTTTTTTTAAAATAAAGTAATAAATAACTAAAAAATCATGCATCTTTGTTAACGGATTATTTTTAAGAAAAGAATCTCGGCTGCAGTTTTTTTTTTACTTTGGCCAGTGCTTGCTTTGAGGGCAAATGCGTTGGCTTTTTAGTTGCTTTGAATTTATGTGCAACTTTAAAATGTTGCACCCAATAAATGCAGTAACTTGGAGACTTTCACAGTGGTCTTTATAGTTCATCTGAAAAAAAATTCTTACTGCCGAATGTGACACATCTGTGGCGTGTGACTACGCTTGAAATTGGAATGTAAACATATAGCTTTAAAGTGCTTTTGCACCAGCTTAAACTCGGCTCACATGTTGGGGCATGATTGATGGGCCCGATTAGCGATGATGTCACATGTTTAAGGCCGACCAGCGACCTCTCCTGCAAAGTGTCTAAATGGCACTTTTGCAGTGAAACCCCATTGGCTGCTGCAGACATGCAGCACATTGACTGGCGTTTGTGTGGTTGAAATCTGATTGTCTGCTAATCGCAGAAAGCCAATTGGCTGGGCATTCATGGTGAAGCCTGTTTCGCCATCCATTATACGCAGCCTGTTGTCGACCTCTTTAAGTTGGAGCCTAAATATTAGTCGGCCCTTGCATGCGGCTGATATATTGGCACCCATGTTGCTGGTTGTTGGGAGCGTCGTGTTGTGCAGCTCAGTCGGTTGTTCTTGCATATCACATCTTGACCACTGCAGTAGCGCTTGCAGCCAGTTTGGGGGTGGATGTTATAACTTTGATTGTTAAGATGTAAAATTTCCTTTTGTATGTAACATTATCATTAAGCTATGGACTTACCAATATCACTGTGCGAACAGTAATTTCTCCTGTGCCCAGTGATTGTACTACGCATGATTTGTCTGTATTGCATGAACTGTTATACAGATGTCTGTTGTCCAAATGTACAGTAGCAGGGCTTGAATATTAAGTTATACACAAAATATGAAACTAAATCAATAATTGGTTTGTTTTATATATATACAGTATATTATTGCACATCACTTAAAATGTTAGAATTTGTTGTTAGCAATAGTATGTTTACAGAAAGTAGCTCATTTTAAAAAGCAGTGTTAAACTTAAAGTGTCATTTTACTTAAATCACTTAAATATTCAAGACCAAATCACTGAAAAGCAATACTTACGCCTTATTAATGTCTCTTAAAACCTATTTTTAACCTGAAGAGATTGCCATAAAAACATGCAGAAGAATGGATGGAGGCTTAACACAATTTTACAGATATGTATTTTAATTTGGTTTCATTGTATTTAAGTCTTGAAGCAAACTTGTGTAACAGTACAGATGCAACCAATTTTTTTTTGCTTCAATAAATTACATTTTGGGGGAAAAATGTTTTACTGATGTGCATTTTATATGTAAACATTTACTGGCAATGCACACAGCTGAATGTTGAAAATTGACCCTTTTTCCAGCTGCAAGAAGCAACCCCTCCCAACAAACATTTATTCACTCGAATATTTCATAGACATGACAGCTGATGATAAAACATTGCATTTAATCAGATTATAATATATACAGCAACACACAGGATATTGTTTTCACAGTAACATTTGAATATCCCACACCGTAAACTTATTGTAATTGATTTTTGAAAACAAATGCCAGTTGGCTTTGAAATACGACTTATCAATCTTTAAAGATTAAAAGAGGTTTTGGGTAACAATGTCATTTTTTTAAACGTAAGTTCTTTCTATACAATTAAAAATCGAATTTAAATAAAAAATACATTAAAGAGAACTGCCAAAACTAACATGGGGAAAACACTGCCACAGCAACTTGATTAATGTGAGCAATACTGCCAAACAACTTCTTTATAATACCACGCATTTATTATTTTCTATTACCAGCAACGTACTGTGGAATTCACAAGCACCCGTCAGCTGGTGCCATTCTTTTCACGTTTAAATAAACGATATGGGCTGCACTCATGTGGCATTTATTCAGTTTAAACCGCCCTTTTAGCTGAAGAGGAATGCCTCTGGGGTTATTGAGGTCTGTAATGAGAAGATTTAGGGGATGCCTTGCAATGAGCTTTGGTAAATGACTAGAGCTGAGACGATGTGCCTTGTTAATGTGAAAAATGAACAACGAAAAATGGAAGTGTTGAATTTAAAACTTTTTAATGGTTAAATATTGAATGGTGGAGCTGTGCATTTATTCAGTGCTGGGCTACATCTGAGGCAGGCACATGTCTGTCTATGTTCCTATGTGGTGGGAAAAACCCACTTTCATGAACAGCAATACAAAGTCATGCTGCTTGTATGAGAGCAGTCAAGTTGAGCAGCAGTAGGAAAAGGTATTTGAGGTCATGGCAAATACATTAGAAAAGTTGGCTTGCCCAACGTCAATATAATATGAATTTTGACAGTTTTTTACCTCGTAAAATTTCACTCCGGATGGCAACAAGCCCATACACTGCAAGTCTTTTACCCATACTTCAAGTGATCTGGATGAGATATTCTGCATTTGAAATTCGCTTAAAATGTATCAGTGGGAGTTGGCACAAGTTTCACAAATATACAGTATAAATAACTCAACTAAGATCAGTTTTGTCTTGTGAGACACAAAGAACATGCCTGAGAAAAAGAAATGATATGACCTTGTAAAAATAATGTGATACAATTTAAAAACAAATGAGTTATTTCGGTGTAGTTTAACTTGAGAGGTGTGCCAGTTTCCCAGCAGTAAGCTTCTCAATTCACTTAACAAAAATCTGCAAAAAAACAAGCTACGAGTTTTTTTGTCAGTGCTAAAAATAAGCCAAATCTGTTACCCCCTCCCGCCCCAACCACTGTGAAGACAGCCTTCCTCCCCCAGAGAATATGCCCTCACAACCTCCCCCCCACCCCTCCCTCAGCAGTTGAAAACCACTGCGTTAACGGAAGCCAGTGGTTGCAGTCTCTGGAAGCAACCGCGTGGCTTGGAGCAATACAGCGGGTGGTGTTTACGCGAACCGGACTCTTGGCTCTGTGAACTTGCCGTTTCGCGGTGGCGGCGGCTGCACCATCTTCACTCCAGCGCGGGCGGGAACCGTCCGGTTCCGTGACGCTCCCGTGCATTGCCCAGCTCGCGCAGGAGGTGCTCGTTCGTCATCACCAACGACCTCGTGCGGGCGCGCACACACACACACACACATGGGAGCGCTCGCTTTACCCACAGTTGTCGAGCCTTGTGCTTGCGCACGCAGCCAACATTAATGCTGATAACACTCTTCATCAGTTGGGAATAAATGCACTCAGAGACGATGATGTTTTGGTGGAATTTATCGCCTGTAAACTGTAGTCTGTCAAACACCTATTCCCTTCCAACTGTTTTAACGTTTGAAAAAATGAAACGTTTAGTCACTATTTAGAACATGTTGAGTCACATAACTGATGTAAATGCCAACATTGCACATAAGGGCAAATGCACCAGTAACTGCGTAATTTAAAATTGTAATAGTTCAAATGATTTAGTTTCAAACAAGGTATTTTAGCTTGCATTTTATGAAATTCGTACATGCAGTTTTCAAGGCAAAACAGCAATATTTTCTCTAAATAGAACTGATGTACATCAGAAAGATGATAATCAGAATATATGAGGGCACCATATCTTGCATCCTGCAAACTACAGCTCTGATGCTGTGTGGCACAGATTGAGACAAGACCCACGACATTCCATTCATCCACAATATTTTTCATGGATTATCGGGGAAGCGTGGCACGTGACTAGCAAATTGATCTGCAATTCTCTGATTACAAAGTTACACGCTTTCCTAAGACGAAAGTGCCGCAAATCTCTCATTGGTCTATGTTAACATATTCTTTGCATTTCTTAGACTTGACATCAAGTCAAAAAAATGCAAAACTCTTCTGCTCAAATCACATCAGCCACATAAGCCCAGCTAGTCTGTGCTGATGCAAAACTCTTGTCCACTTCTACAGATCCTGTTTTGCAGTCTGCGAAGCGTTTTCAATCCACCTCAGTGTGCCGTGGATTACAGAAATGTACAGATTTGGAGTTCTGCTGTAATACATTTGACATGCTATAAATTGTCAGCAGTGACAGCGAAGCACGTTTTTGTGCTTTCACGGCATGTCTTGATGACAAATTGGGTAATAATGCTTGCAAATGACTGACATGAAAAATGTATGCTTATAAACGCTGTGAAAAGTATATGCAAATTCGTTGACATGTTTAAGAAACGTTGAAAAATGTTATTTGGCAGTTAAGTTTTCTGCAAAGTGTTCTTCACGGTTGGTTGCAGCCTACGAAAATGACATTGTGCAGGTATCCTGCAAACATACGGTAGACGTTTTGTGCAATCTCACCAACCTGCTGCCTCTGTAATGTGACAGTGTCAGGTGACCGTGCGTGTGTCAAATAGGTCCCACAGCTCCTATGTCACACCACACGGATGGATTTTGTACCAGATACTCGCTGTCACATTTCTCTCACAGCCCTGCCTCTTGCTCTCACTCACCCACCAAACCCTCCTCACGGCACCCCCACCCGCCGCCCAACAGCTCTCCACACTATCCCCCTGCCCTAACGTATTAATCATGTTCACAGCATGCCCATTGAGGTGGTTTCAAAAAGTTTAGCCGTCTGACATTACACTGACAAAATGCGGAGGCATACCATCGTGGCAGGCTGCACATCACAACCGAGTACATGCTGGACATACAAAATGCAGACAGAAGACCATGTACTTTTTGAAGTATGCACGTACATTTTTTCTGATCATTTGAGTTTTTGTACATCAATCATTGCAGCTGAATGGGCACTTGTACTTATAAGACTTATGTCCAAATTGTGCCCGCGCGGTTGTCAACTTTTCTTTGCCATGTGACAATATGAAGAGTTTTACGTCTCTGCGTTTCTTAAGCACATCTCGGAGACGTAGTTTGAAACTCCCTTGATTAGTGTCAGACGACTGTAAACCAGCATTTGTGGTTTGCAATAAAGTGTCGCTATTTGGAAAGAGCAGCTTGACAGCAAATTGTTAACGTTCACAATGTTACGAGAAAATAATAGTAAAGGCAGCCTGGGAACTGAAATTAATTACAGGGTGGATGCTCTCAGTACTGCAAATAGAAAATTAACTGATGTTCAAGATGGTGTCGATGACACAAGAACATGTGGGATGGGTTCTGAGACAACTTTAAGACTTGACTGTCAGAATGCACATCAGATATCCTAACCTGAACTTTTTTTTTTACTTTTAAAAGGAAAGTTACAATCTCGGAATTGTGATAAAAATGTAAAACACTTGGAAATAAAAAGGCAGCGATGCACTGAAGTTTGTGGAAAAGACCGCTACATGCTCGCGCAGGAAGCCAAATAGCATGAGCCTCTGCGCCAACATTTCACGCATCAGCCCTCAATCACATGGGGGGGGGGGGGGGCCCTATCCTCGTCTCTGCCAAGTGAAGGAGAGAAAAAAAAGTAGAGCACACAGTGTAGTTGTCTCCCAGCAACCAGGTTAAAATAAGCACAGGAAAGAGAAAAACTGCACCGCGGGTTGCACATTTTTTGAACTTTTTGTAAATAAGCGTGTGTGGTTGCTGTATGCGATGTACAGTTTTGCCCCTTTGTGGGTACGACTGGTTGTGGACACTGGTGCGGTGCGCTACTTTCAGCAGACGTGTGCCATGTCCAAAAACTTTGACTGGTTGTATGAGGTTGTTTTCTTCATTTACAGTCTTTTGCAATTATAGCACTCAATAAGAGCCATGCCCCGAAAAGTTAATTCGTCTAGACACCTAGTATCAAGCAGTGTTAATTATGCAGTTATTTTGATGACATTATTTTAAATTATACACCAAAGTTTTTAGCACCTGAAGAATTAGCAAATATTTGGTGCACTATGACGGTTTAAATTTTACCTCCGCCAAGGAGAATGCAAAAGCACGGCATCTGCTGCAAATTAGTCTTTGATAACTCTATGATGTCATTCATGAGACTGCCTGCATAAAGCCATCAAATGTACAAACCCCCTACAATGGCCACGTTTAAAATACATTAGGACATCTGTGAAAAAGAGCTTTATAGCTCATCATATGCCTCCACTATATATACCGTATTTTCCCGCATATAGCCCGCATACGCATATAACCCGTAGATGCATATACCCCGCAAAAATAGCGTTTTGTGCAAAACAAATTTCAGATAGCCCGCACCTCCATATACCCCGCATTCATTCATATCCTTAACGTTGTTACCGCAGCTTAATTCCATCATATTAATACGAAGTTTACATTTGTAATAAATTCCACTATCAATTGTTAACATTAAAATCATAACGTGCACAAAGAAAACAAACTAACCGGAAACGAGTGAACTTAAAACAGTAAATAAGTAAAGTCACGTAGAAGGGAAATAATAAAATAATAAAAATAAAACAATAAAATTCTCACGACGTTTCGGCCACAACACAAGTAGCCTTCCTCAGGTGAAGAAACAGAACTGTCGGAAAGACAGCGCTCCAATGAACACTGCTAAGCTTGGCAGTGTATTTTAAGCTGGGTGGGAGGAGCAGAGCGCCTTGACAAAGGAGTTTACATATCAACAGAATAATTTAGCATTGAAGTAGCTGTGTTAATGTGAGAGGTTAGCATGTAACTGGGAGATTAGCATGTAACTGGTCACGGAGGTAGCTATGTTAATGTCAGAGTTTACATATCAACAGAGGCATTTAGTATATTGACGCTAAAGAACTGCAACTTCCCAACTATCATACAATAAACCGATGTGAAAGAACTAAATATAAAATACATTAAGCTTTAAATCAAAATTTACATCAATATAATCAATGTACTCAATATATTCTCCAATAAGCTGAGCTATTAACATAAAGTAACTGACTTTAACATAGCTTCTTCCGTGACCAGTTACATGCTAATTCCTCACACTAACATCATGCTAATCTCCCAGTTACATGCTAATTTCTGACTTTAACATCCTGATAATCTCTCACATTAACACAGCTACTTCAATGCTAAATTCTTCTGTTGATAAGTAAACTCCTTTGTCAAGGCGCTCTGCTCCTCCCACTCAGCTTAAAATACGCTGCCAAGCTTAGCAGTTTCATCTTCTTGGTGTACGTGCTTGAGTTCACTGGCAATGTGTTCCTGGTCGGAAATGCATTGGGCTCTATGGTATAGAGTCTTGATGAGGGAAGTCTTCTGGGATGGATGGTGGTGGGAATCCGGTTTTAAGTAAGCATCCGTATGGGCAGCTTTCCCGTAGACAGAGTGGCTCATTGAACCATCAGGTCTCCTTTTACCATGAAAACATTAAACGAGTTATGACATGTCCCACGTGTAAAATATTTTTGGGATAGCCTGAACCTCCATATACCCCACAAGGTCTTGTTTTGTTTGTAAAAACTGGTATACCCCGTGGGTTATATGCGGTAAAATACGGTAAATATGAAAAATGTTCGGTGTAGAAGCTGAATATTGTTGTTAACAAGATGTTCTATTCACTGGTGTTGGTTCTCACTCTGGTGTCCATGTCATACTCTTAGCATCTTCTCACAGCAGCAGCCACTGCCTGCAGACAGGAAAACCACTTCCGCTGGTGTAGGTGCCCCCCCCCATCCGCATGGACCTTTTCACTGCTATCACTCTTTTCTTTCTGCAAGCAAGCTGTAAACAAGAGGGGGTTGATAGCTCCCAATAAAATATTTTATTCAATTGTTTAATTTATTTCAACTCTCCTTCAATGGGTAAGGGATGCTTCACTGCCAAATTTAAACTGCCCATTTCAATAGAGCGTTTAAAATAAAATTCTCACGAAAATGTTGTAAAGATGCTAGCGAGGATTTGCTCTCCAAGACCAGCACTCAGTGCTTCCCCTGTCTCGGCACTAACCACGACTTTTACAGCTGCAACACACATCAGAAATTGCCAATACTTTAAATGAAGGAACGCAGATGGGAGGATCCTCAACTGACACAGTTGAGGCCTGTTCTGTTGCAAATTATATCGTGCACGCCTTAGCTTTGTTGTGTTCTTCCGCCCGCTAAGACGAGATGAATCGCACTCATGATTTTGACTTCCAGTAGACAACCCACGGATTTCTGATCCTCCTGTAAGGCTTACGACAAGCCAGCCACCTTCGGAAGCCACAGCAACGCACTCATATACGGGCTCAACCTCTTCTATTACACCCACCGCTCCGGCTGCCCGTCATGGCCAGGAGATTGCAGCACCTTCGTCGAGAAGCGTGGAGACCAGCAAGGGTCAAGGTTCTCCTCAGCCTTCACCTGATCTATCAGGTGACCCTGCTTTTTGTGTTTTCTCCGAACTTCCGGTTAGTTCATACGGTGCGAAAAAAGTTTTTCCTACCAACTATAAGCCATGTCTTTAACTTGAAACCATGTCTTTAACTATAAGCTGTGGGCATTGCCGTTTAAAAGTCAGCTTCAAGAGGCCATGATTTGCAGACAAGGGGCAAGACCCACAGTAGCTGACCATCAACACAAGCCTATTGGTCAATCTTTTTCACCAATAAGCAGCCACAGTGCTTGTGTGAGGATGTCTGAGAAAGCAAGCCCCCCCCCCCCGCCATGTCTCTTTGGTTTGGGGATGGGGGAGGGGAGTGGAGATCGCATCACCCATTTCAACAACCAAACATTTTGTATCCATGAGTAGCAAACTAGTGCTGGAGATGTTTAAAGCTGACTTACAAGCTCAACTTCATCGCAGATTGAACCACCATTCAATCACCACCAAACTGCTCAAAGGATGCAGTCCTGAGTCTCTCCCTGGAGTTGGAGGTTCAGTGGCTCTTGCAGCTGGTGGCTGTTTCAGCCCGATGTAGTGTCTATGTTTTAATAAACGGGACGGTGAAGGCGTGTGCATTCTACTCAAAAGTGGCAAAGGGAATGTCGATGAGAACACTGTGCCCCATGCATTAATTATTGCTCAGCTGTGTGTTATTTTTGTGTTAAAGTTAACATTTCTCACTTGTGGCTCTCTTGCAACATTGTGACGAGCTCGTGAACCTGACTGAGTTGCTGAAGCTGGTGCCGCATATTCTTCATCTCGGTAACCAGCTTCTGGTTTTCCTGCTGGAGTTCACCTGGTACAATACAAATGAGAACACAGTGCAAGTTCATGGCTGACGGTTTTACATTTAAAAAAAAGTACCATCACGATAATGCACCTGAGCTCAGCACAGGGACATCTTTAGTTAGCAAATGTTAAGATGAAACAGAAAAATCGTTCACATCACCCATAAAGATGAAGGCTAACATGATGGGCTTATATGGTTTCATCGTATTATTTAAGGTAATTTGTAAATCCAAAACACTAACACTGAATACAAAATGGTTTACCTTGATTATGTTGAGTGAACTAGGCAAGACACATTTCACTGGAACTTCATGAGGTGCGACGTAACGGAGAAAAAAATCGGATTTACCCTTTCCGGTAAGAATACTGGTGATGTTAAAGATGTTCAAACACCAAATAGACACGTTTCGCAAGCTGTAAGTCTGCATTAACCACATGCTTGTAGTTAAACAAGCATACGTAAAAAACATGCTTTGATAATGTATATATTGTCCTTGAAACTGCTTGGTCTACACCATAAACAGCCTCCTTTATGGCCTTGTCTCACCAGTGTTAGACCAAAGAATGGCAAAAGGCAAACAGCACAAAGATGATGCAAATATCAAAGCATTAAAAGCTCGGTTTAAGCAGTTTTGTTTCTCTCGTTTATTTTTCTCATCATCTTGTTACTGGCAAAAAAGGGTCCCCGCACATATTCAATTTCTTCTTTGCAAGACGCATCTCAATGGATGAGCACTGCATCCGTGATAACTGCAACAGCACGACCCCTGCCTAGAGCACCGTGAGGGCACGGTGGGACAAGGTGGTGTGCGTGCGACCACGTGTGGTGGCCAGTGACCCCGCCGTGTACCCGCGTGCTGCGTCGCGTCTGCACGGACGCTTCCGCTTCGTGCCGTCGCCTCTCGCTGCAGCCGGGTAGCTTTCTCCCGCAGCAGGTGGCTCTCCTCCACGATCTGCGTCAGCTTCGACCGCATCTCCGCCTTGATGCAATCAACAACAGTGGTGGCGATGAGATTAGAGGTGGGCTCCCCCCCCCGCCGCCTTCCCGTCTCCCCACCCCACTTCTTCCCCCCTGCTCCCTCTCCTCTCTCACCCTTCCAAAGTACCCCACTCAGTCCCCACTCAGTGGGGCAGCCAGCCCAATCTGCCCCCTTCTCTAAACTCAGGACCACAGCGTGGTCCTGAGTTTAGGTGCGCGGAGTTTCTGTCCCCCCACCCCCATGTCCCGGGCTCCCACTGAAATATAATAACATTACAAAATAAAGGATTAGAGGTGAGCGAGTGGTCATATTGCTCATCAAGAGCACCAAGCCGGAGATTCCGAGTTCAAATCCAGGTGTCCCCATTGGCCATTATTAAACCACGTTCTGAAGTGTACCCAACTGAATATCTCATCCAGGTCAGCAAATGGGTGTGTAAGCATCCACTGTGTCACATTTGGTTTTTCACGTCAAAAAAAGGGCCAATTGAAGTGACTGCACAAGTAGTTGTGCCATAATTTCCCACGGTACCTCTGACACAAGCTGGGTGCACTGGTGGCTGCAAGATTTCCAAATGAAATGTTTGTGACAAGATTCCAAAACCACACTCATAATGAAATTGGAAAACATGAATGCAAAGACGTGGGGAATAATCCTAAGATATATTTTTTCTAATGAAGGATCATCCTGTCATTAATCATTGAAACACATTACAGAATAGGTCACTGCAGCACTGATTTAACTAGAGTTCTAAAAGTGAATTTTCAATTCCAAAAGTAGATGTTAATGATTCCATTTGAGCATAAACTGATGACTGAAATTAGTTTCACCCCCATATTTTTGTAATGTGTGTGGCCGGAATATATAAGTTAAGGATGCATGTTGAATTGCTCAGCCTAGTATTTAACCTGTTGTGGAGATGAATACATACGTTAAACATTTGTATTTATTAATTAAGGGTGTGTTTGCTAAGGGATTCATCTTTATCACAAATATGAATGTTCACTTATAATTCACGTGTTTGTCCTGCAGATTGAACCCTGGATCAGCACTACATGCATCAATCATCTGAGCCACCCAGCCACCAAATGATTTATAAATTTGACGTGATTTTGCCGCAACCAACAAATCTTTACAAGAGTTGTAATGGGTTCAAGAAAAACATCACAACTGCAATATCTTGGTTGCACTATGTCATGCAGAAAATTGTTTTTGACAGGGGGAGATAGAAAAAAAAAGTTTGATTTATACCGCTATTAAACTTACAGGGTTGTAGTCAGCCTTGTAAAATTATGAGATTGGTGCTCCACTATTTCCATGTGTGTAGAGGATTTGTAAAGAGACACTGCTCAATGATTCAATGTAACCTTACATTTTTTATTAATCAGATCACAGAACTTTATTTTTTTTAATAGTTTATCGCAACTGAGACGAGGCAAAATATTTATATTCAAACATGTTTTCAACCTAGGTATATAACTGGCAAGTATATGAAAACAAAATATCCAACTCAATAAAACTTACACCGTCTTTCAGTGCACTTGTGAGTTGGTCCTTGATTTTCAAAAGTTCCTGGCTTTCAGCAGTTTGTCTGAGGGCCTGTGCCTGCAACTGCACCATCTGGTCCCGTGTGGCGGCGTGGTCCTGATTTAGCGCGGCGTTCTCTCGGGCCAGGGCCTCTCTTTCACGGGTCAGATCCGAGATCCGATCACGGAGTTCTTGAAGCTCACGCAGAAGACTCAACATAGACACTCCACCGCTGATGGCGTTCAGGATCTGCCGAGCGGGAACTACAAGGCAACGAGCAGGGACCAGAACAGCAGCACCTCTTGAATTGTCACCATCATTATAATGAATCCTTGCAGTCACGAAAGCTTTAAATCGAAATTTAACCGCCTCTATGGGGAGGGATTTCACAGTGAGATTATTGTGTTATTTTATTTTATCAATTTATTATTTTATTCTCATTCTACGTGACTTTACCGAAAGAACCAAAGAAGATGAATAATAAACAGTCAATTGCTCAAAGGAAACTTTACCTATTGGCAATAAGTAAATATAGAATAAAAGTATGCACATAGGAAAAGATGTAGTTAAGATTATGGTTAATCACACAGATATAAAATAACAGGTCACTACTGAGTTGCCTCATGTTAGAGTCAAGGTTGTAGGTGAATTGTTGGTAATTACATAGTAAAATTATGAAGAAAAAAAGACAAGGGTCAGCTTTTTACACATTACCATAAATTATATTTTATGTCATCAACCTGTGGCCTTTGTAGACCAGCACGTGTATAAGCAGGAAAATTTTTAACCAGTTTCCACTTTGTGAGTTTAATAATAAGTCTCATTATGACTTTAAACATAATTTTTACCCAAAACTAGTTTGTGTTAAGTAAGTTTCAGAATATATTAACATATGAGCATATTGAATCAATACAGAGGGGCACATTGATGTACATAGTCACACACGGGATCTTGACATGTTATTTTATTTATCCAGGAAAGTCTCAATGCATCTCGAGAGCATATTAATGTGGGGTTTGCATTGGAATGCTTGCCAATTTCATTAATTAGTATTTTGCATTTGGAAAGAAACAAATACTTAAATAAAACTCATGAGGTGATAAATTGAAGGCCGGTTCAAAACCCGTTTTCTGTACTGCTACATTCTGACCACCTCTCAGCTCATGGATTTTGGAATTTCACTAAGCCCAATGCGATGCACTAACCTTTGCATTCAGAGTGCTTGATAACAAGCATATCGTAGAAGTTTCTGGCTTGCATAGTGGAGGAAAATACTTTGAAAGAACCCATGATATTCTTTGCAACAGCTTGTACAGGCTCTGTGACCCACAATGACTTAATCATACCACCAACTGCTGGTGCTTGACTCCCCTGTGCTGAACTTGCAGGGTGTATTTTAGAGCTAAGCTGCCACTGCTACGCATTGTTTCAAGATAACACACGACGCACTTGTCACGTGTGCACAAAGCAAAGTGTACCTAGGAAGCGATCATTGACGTGCAGCGATCTGGAACCATTCCAGTGCTTGTCGACCAGATCCAGCAATTGTTCCAATGGCGGGGGAACCAGCGTGCAATCCACATCTGCCACCTAGTTAAAAACAAAAAAAACTCCTGTTAATTACATTGCTGCAGGCGTTAGCATTTGTGCAAACTGAGTCTCATAGAGGTCTGGCAACGAAGCAGCCGGGACAGAGTGTACTTTTTCATGCAAGGTCCTCTGGCTCGGTGACAACTTGGACAGCTGGTCCAGGCTGCTCCAGCGCTTGTGAATGGCTTCATTTTCACTTCTGCTGGAGGGGAGACCTTTCCCAGTATTGCTGTCGCAGGAAATGCTGTGCATGCCCCCTGCTGGAAGATTTCAAGAAAGAAATAGCTTTGAAAGCCAAGTCTTGGCATTTTAAAATGCTGCGGGATATGAGAATGGTATTGATGAGTTGTCACAGCACGCATGTAGGATTTTTGCGGATCCAAAAGTGATAATTTAAAATGAGAAAAATCAGCTAATTGGTTAATTTATTTACAATGAAGAAATAATCATCTCAGGAGTATAAGTCATACTTTTGTGAAAGTGCAGTTTTAGCAATTCTTTTGCAAAATAAAGGATTACATATTGTAAGTTTTAGAGGAATTAAAATATTTACACTACTTCCCAGTTGGCAGAAAAATTACGACCATTAACACTACCTACAATACACTTACATCTTTAATTACACACAAACGCACTTGGGACGCTTTATGAATCCACACATGACTTGTACAAGAAACGCCCGCGAATACACAGTACGTGGAAATAGCGAGAGGCCCGGGTACCAGGGTGTGGCGTGAAGTTGGCACGCCCACTGATCACGTGGTACGCCTCGGCCTCGTCCTGGAAGCGCAGGTTGGGGTCAGGCGCCATGAGGTCACGGGGAGCCTCGTCTGCGAAGGTGACGCGCACGTGGCCATCGCGGGGCCGGCCAGCGGCGCTGCCCTCCTTCCCTGGCGAGCGCAGTGCCGACCTTGGCGGAGACGCCTTCAGTGCCCCTGCCAACATAGAGGGCCCGTGGATGCTCGCACAGCGAAGGTAATGATGAATGACAAGTTAGGCAGTGTGTCCACTTGTGAATGGAGGAGGCAGCTGTCCCCAATGTGTTTTAGATGGAACCCGCATCAAGTGTGGTTAAATTCAAAGCACTGCGTCATTCACAATTAACCTCAACTTGTGCACATTTTCATGGAGGAATCTGATGAACTATGAATCTCTTTTTCACAGATGTCCAGTATTTTCACAGATGTCCAGTAAATTAGCACCCAATGTCCAGTAAATGAGCGCACCTCTTGTCAATCCACTGCTGGATGAGTGACTCCTCACACCAGGGAGTTCTTTAAGATAATTTACTGTACTTCACACTGGGCAGTCGCCAATGTGGGGAACATAAACATTGGGGCATAGTATAGTACAACAAATGATTGTGCTGTTTTACCCCCTGCTGGTAATGTAAAACTTCATATTTCAGCAAACACCTCTTGCATTATGTCTGTATTTGGTCGATAGTAAAACACTTGGCTTGGGAAATGTACTGTTTGACAATTACAGAGGTGTAGTACCTATGCTTTAAAATAAAATATGACAATGAACTATTTACAAATTAATCAAAGCAGTCGTGTTAAATAATTTGACTTGCATAATACGCATGTATAAAATTTTGTTTTAGTACAATGCAGCACTTTTTCCCTTAAATAACAAATCACATGATACAGAAAATGTAACATTCTGTACAGCCACTATTTTAGTTGATTATAGTTGATGCGAAATATAAAGGAAACCAATAGACTGAATGATACAATGTTTTTTAATGCAGTGAAGAATTAGTCAACTTTGCATGTAAAAAAAAACATCTGGAAATCAATATCCATCATCCATGTGTAACAAATTACTAACCTCCTTCATGGTTCGTGGAATCGGTATAAACCTTGCCCCCAGTTCCACTTCGAAATCCTGAGCTTGTCTGCAACAATGTCATTTTGTACATCAATTAACTGTCCACGAATCATACACGTCAAAATGCCTTAAGAGTTTGCAATGAGGAATGGCATCATTAGTGCCTCTCAGCAGCATGACAGCATTCGCATCATACCAAGATTAAATTAGCAGCAACATTTCCGCACTGACTGGTGGGCCGTCATGACGTACATATCACAGTGCAGCATCCACTGCAGACATCGTACTGACTGATGAATTAAAATTCAGAGGCCAACTGGTCATTGGAGAAACGTGGCTGCTATATATATAGGCCGTGCACAGAGGCTCGACATGCCCGTGTTCAAAGCGCCGAAATGCACCTTGGGGATGTCGATGGATTGCGTTGAGCAATTCTGGATTTGCAGGAACGGGTCCTTGGCTTTGCTTTCCTCTTGAGTAGGGCGAGACATGCCGAGTTTGTCTCCAGAAGTCACCCTGTCCATTTCCCGTATGCCTGCAGAAAAAGCAGAGTAATGTATCTATTTGCTGCTGCAAATGTCCATCTGAAGAAAGTCCCACTTTTATCTACAACCTGTACAGCCAATTAATGTATTACTATATGCTCCGCATTCCAATGATGGTCCAAGTAAATGCAACTCACACCTATTAACATGGAAATATTTTTGGTGACCCCTGCTATGTATGGCAAGGTGATGGTTTTGATGGGTTCCTCGGATGGTTTTCCCAACAGTTGGGGTGATAGCTTTACGGATTGTGTAGTCTGAATATCCATTCATCTTGAGAGCTTGGTGTACGTGTTCCAGTTCACTGGCTAGGTGGTGCTGGTCAAACATACATCGAGCTCTATGGTGTAGAGTTTTGATGAGGGAATTCTTCTGGGATGGTGGTGGGAGTCAGGTTTTAGGTAGGCATTCGTATGGGTAGCTTTCCTATAGAGTGTCCCATTGAGCCATCTGGTCCCTTTTCAATGAAAACATCCAAGAATGGTAACGTGCCATCCTTTTCCACCTCCATGGTGAATTTGATGGCTGGGTGTATGCAATTGATTTCCAAAATCATGAGCAAACACAAGATCCAGGTTCGATTCAACACAGTACGTAAAATTAGTGATCTTATCCCATCTGTGAAGGATGTGATCCCTGACATGCAATACCCCGGCATCTACAAACTAAGCTGTGTCTGCGGCAGTAGTTACATTGGGGAAACTAAGCGACATGTATCGGACCATGTTCGTGAACATAAGGCAGATCTGAAACACGGTAGGACCAATACCTCAGCCGTGGCTGATCAGTTTTAATGCTGTGGGCACACACGAAATGTATTTTTCCAAGACGAAGGTACTCTGCAAAACCGCTGGCTATCAGCAAAGATTCGTTCATGAAGCCATCCAGATATATAAACACAGACATAATTTCAACCGAGAAGATGGGTACAAACTGAGCAATCATTGGAAGGACGTTATTAACCAGGTTAAGTCATAACTGGCTGTGATGTTTAGTAGTTATTTTCGACTGTCTGGTGTTACATTAACAGGTTAAATGTCTTTACATTAACAGGTTAAATATCTCACTAACACAGCCACCGTTGCTCGTTTTCCTTGATGTGGCGGTGGCTCTACGATCTTACATTGACATGCTAATCTCTCACAATACAATGGCCACCTCCGCAGCTTCATCGTCGTGGAGGTAGCTCAGCACTCCGATCTTACATTTACATGCAAATTTCATCACTAGCCCCGCCCACTTCGCTTATGACCCTTGGGCTACACCCATCTCAAACCTTTATAACATCTCGCCTCAGCAGCTCTCTCCCTATTTTTTCACCAATGACGATTTCTTGTGTTGCGATCGAAACGTCGTGATATTTTTATTATTTTTTTCTATCTACGTGGCTTTACCGAAAGACCCAAAGAATGTGAAATACTAAATTGATACGAGAACCTATTATTGGATTGGTTTGTACGCACAACATGTGTAAATGGCCTAACAGACTGCATTCTTAAAGGTATTCTGCTATAAAATACATATAAGTCACAAACAAATGTGCTTCATAATAGCCTATTATAGTATTAATCAGTTCATATCTCACGGTGGTCAAATGTTCATTACCTCGCCTGGTATGCAGGTCATGGGTTCGATTCCGACCCTGATGTCTGTATATTTGTAGTTTTTGGCTGCTCTAAAATTTCACATCATAAGCCACTTCATTGAGCCATCATTTGTAGCCAGGTCGAGTCTGAAAAAGAGCTATATAGCTCAGTGGGGCCTTACCTGGTAAAATAAAAATGTTCAGGTAAGTTTAGTAGTTTAACCAAAAAATTAAACCCAGTCTGTCAGCTGTTATACCCTATTTGGGGTTGTGTACACATTTTTGCAGTTCCCTCCAATTCATCCAATTGGCATAGAGATGCATTCTCTGCATTGTAATTCTGTACAGGAATGAAATCCACCCTATTTTATTCAGTCAAGAACATTTTTCCCTGTAAAAACAATCGCGGTGGTACTAATATTTGTTTATAACCAAAAGCCAACGGAGGATACTGCACATTCCCATAGTGGCAGCCAGTCTTTCCATAGGACAACCACTGATGACTTCCCATCAAGCAGTACTCATTATATCCAATGACAGTGGGATGATAAGCTGAGTCGACCACTGACCAGGATTTGAACCCTGTAATCTTGGCATTGTGAGTCGAGCACTCCGAGTGCAGAGCGCTCGGCTTTTTTTGCTTGCCACGTTGCCTATTTGTACATACGTATGTTGCACTTCTTTCGCATTGCACATAGCCAACCGTGCACTAATCGAGAGGTGCGGATTCCATTGCTGCTTACTCTCCAGGGAGTGCAGCTCGACGGAGGGCTCCTTGCTGCCGAGCGTGAATCCCGGCTGCGAAATCAAGTTGAGGACTCGTTCGTCGTCAGCATCCAGCAGGGAGCGTGGTCGTGACAATGAGCTCACATACGCCGCCCTCGGCTGCAAGGGCCTGCGGGGTCAATGTAAGTGTTTTGCATTGACATGCGAATTCCTCAATTCCTTTATTGTTACCTACTTGAGAACCCATTGAGATGAAATATCTCTGTTGTAACTGAAGGCAAGAGATTCTCCATTAGGTAACACAAATTGTAATTCGATTAACAAAATAAGATTATAGTAATAGGTTTTACCCTTTTAACTGCCTTGAATAAGGTGTCAGTTTTTGTGCCAGTTAAAAGGGTAAAACCTATTACTATATCTTGTTACTGGCAAAGGAGGTCTCATAATGTAACATAAGATTACTAGCCTAGAGATTTAAATTAAAATATAGATAATCGTGGTGGTTAATGAAACAACCACTCTTAGCCAACTTACCTTTCATTCGTTTAACGTGTGTATAGAAATTCATGGTGCGCACACAAATATTTTAATAACAACAAAATTACTACAGTCATCCTATGAGAAATTTAAGAACAAAATGCCCAATGTAAATGTGCTAACCAAGCAAGGCACACTTGAAAATACAACGTAAAACCATGAATTGCTAAGAGTAATAGTAATTAATAATAATAACGCCAGGTATCGGTGTTTACTTTTCAGGTTCTTTAGCTGCTGGTGGGTCAGGATCCCGGAACTCATACGCTTGATCGCTGCTGAAGTGCATCAGTGCCGCCTTCCGCTCGCTGTCTCGTACGGGCCTGTCATCTGAGTCCACGGGGGGGAACATTTGTGTCAACACTATGTATTTGTCTTGTCAAGAGTCAAAGTGCTTCCCTGCTCAATCAAGCAATGCCAAAGTGCCTCCCTGCTCAATCGGTGGCAAGATAACTACCTCGTCTGGTAAACAGGTCGTGGGTTCGATGCCAACCCTGATTTTCTGCTGTATATTTGCAGTTCTTGTAGATTTTTCTCCGTGTCCTCCGATTTTTGCCTCTACATTGAGAAACATCCGTTTAGAGTATTTGTCTGTTATAAACAAATGCCCACAAGGTAAGCCACTTTGTTGAACCATCATTTGTGGCCAGGCCGCTAATGAAAAAGAGCAACATAGCTCAGTGGACCTTTTAGTTTAATGTGGTAGTGCTCACCTCCCTTGGTGGCCCTGAGAGCACAACCACTGAGCGCACAGCTAGTGGTCACCAATGGGTTCAACCACTGAGCATGCAGCCATCGGTCACTAGTGCGTTCACCGAGTGCAAAGCCAGTAGTCACCACCAAGTTTAACCATCAAGCACGAAGCTAGTGGTCAACACTGTGGTCACAACCACCATTATACATGGGAATGTGAACATTAAACATGCATGCAATTGGGGTCAGTCAGCCCACTGATAAAGTCCCACAAAGTGGTACCCAAAAGAATCAACCAAAGGAAATTATTTCGGAGTGAGTAAACCCCCTGAGAATTCACTCACAACCTACCCGGCTCTAAATGACACGCTCTATCCACAGTGTAACTAACTCTGTTGGTTATCTTGCACAGAATGAAAACACGTCACCGCAACCAACAGCATCATCTTAATGCTCCATCTTCACGCTGGGCACATATTCACTGACCCAGCCGGCGCAGGTTGGGCAGCATGTGCACCAGCAGCAAGCGGTAGTCTGGCTCCGCTGCTGCCACAGGATTGAGCCGCAGGTCAAGCTCGCGCAGGCCAGACATGGCACGCAGCCGCAGCAGCTCCTGCTTGTTGGCCACGCTGTTGTAGTAGAGGTTGAGCTTCTCCAGCAATGTCAGGTGTTCCAGGCCCTGGAGACAAGGGCAGTCGTAAGAACTCGCTCCCTCTTTGCAACTTCCGAGTGAGAGAGTGTGGGAAAAGATGGCTTGCCGACTTGCCCATGGGCTCCAGTGGATTAAACAACATAATCCTTAGAATTATAATTACATGTGTAAATTCCTCTCCACTCATTTGCTATGCATTTCAATTGCATTGTTATATTCAGAGCCAGCTTTCTACCCATCGAGGTATGCAAAACTACGTAATATTATATGGACTGTCAACTATTTAACATGATAATTATGATAATCGTAAATGAAAGTCAGCATCATTTATGATAAAATATATGCACATGCGAACACAAATGTTTTTTTAGGCAGAGTACACATTGCCCATCCATTTAAAAAGCAAATACACACATACTCACTCAGTAGCAATGAGTGCTGCCAGAAAAGCAGGAAGCATGTCATACTTTAAGAAACATGTTCATATATTGCAGATTAAAACAATTATACATTTTTTATATAAGAGCTACATAGCAACAAACAAATCTACATCTAGAATATCAAGCATAATGAAGTCTTAAGTTAATTGAGACTGACATGATGGAAATGTTAACATCTAGCTCATGGCTATGCAACAACATGGTGATGTACATAAAAAGTCAAGCATTTCTTACATTTCAAATAACAAATCTCCTTTGAAAAATGTATCATGCAGTGCTTAAAACAGCACTGAGTAGTGCCGAGCCCCTCAAGTAATTATTTCAGTGCTGGAACATCAATCAAAATTATCTTTAGGTTCTTGAAATTATTGAAATTAGCAGTTCACCAGGGCAGCAGTTTTGGGCCCTTGTCTGTGAAATATGCTTTCATCAAGCCCTGACAGACAGGATCACAAAGCCAGTGGTGGGAACAAACATATGCATCACTTAACTTTCCATTCTAGTGAGCTGGGCCGTGTGCCATTAGCAGATTCAGACTTCCCATGCTCACCTGCAAGCTCATGAGAGAGTTTCTGGAGAGATCCAGAGACTTGAGCCGAGTGAAGTTCTTGAGTGAGCTACCCAAGTGGGCCACCTTCTCGCTGTACGTGCCAGGCAGTGACAGTGAGCGCACATCACCTGCAACCCACACCCATGATCTAATTTTGACATTTTGAAGAACAATCTTTCCATTTACATACAGACCATGTACCAGTTGATTACATTATATAGCATATGCTGCATGTGTCTGTTAACTCTGGACTGTGGCAAGATCGAAAATGTCCATCTTTATTCATATTAATTCACAAGCTCAACTATGAAAACGAGAAAACACGCTTCAAGTCTGCTGTTGTATATACAGTTGTGAAAACAGCTTAGCTAAATAAAATATAACTTTATTGTATTCTGCATCAGTTTAAAATTATTGGTCATCGCAGTTTTCTCAAACAAACTTGACAATATATTCAACAACACAGTTAACAGTATACACTGTAAGGGTGGTATGCTATGCATTATGGATAATGCTCTAGGAAATTTAACAATATTGAGATGCAAGCCAGTTCTACTTAGTAATATGCAAGTTTTCTTCCTGTACTTAATGTTGAATGCAAGTCAAAGACAGGGTTAAGGGCCTCTATTTTTGGAAAGCCCCTAAGCTACCGATTGGGTAATTAGGCTGCTGGAGTGTGGTTAATCAATGTCAATTGGAATGTGGCTGACAGACGTAGAAGCTGTAGGCACGAAATATGCAGCTCCTAATGTAACATGATTCAGGTTGGTAATATTCCCTTGGCTGGTTTCGGTGGACTACATGGGTATACTATAATGCAGACGGAGATAGATGGTGGGCACAGAGAATACATTAATCCACTCCCAATAGGTAGCTGATTAAAAACCATCGTCAAATCTGACACGTTTGATCAGAACCTCCGGGGCTTATATTTGCTGTGTAAGCCATTATACACAGTAATGATCTTAACATTCAGAAATATTAATAAACCTGTTTAAAGCATACCTCCTGCACTTGCAAGTATCAGCATGTTCCCAATGAAAATGCTTTCTTTGCACAGTTTTGTACATGGTGTCTTGATTTGCACCATATCAGAGCTATTCGGGACATTTGTTCCTTTTGAAAATTTCTGAATATTCATTATGAAATTATACTCTGGAGTAATAAGGTAGTCACTGACCTGCTGTTTTTCACAATACATAAAAAACCACTACGTACTTTACATGGAAGTAAAAAACATGATTTGTAAGTGCATGTTTATATGTGTAAATACTGTCCGGCAAAAACAACCCCCTACCTCCTCGTGGTGCCTGATATCAACGCTGTGGTGGGCAGTGCCGTGGGGGGAGAGCCAATTTAGATTGACCATTCTCCTTATGGCGTTTGTAACCACCACAGACGCCAAATGGGGGTTCTGGATGGGTGCAGGCGTCTATGACGTCTCCTGGCCAAACCCCATTTGGCGGAGCCAGGAGATTGAATCGTTTACCCTCGAGGCGCCTCCAGAAAAAACAAAAAGCCACTTTGGATGGCCACGTGGAATGTTCGAACGCTCACTGCGGAGGAGAGGCTGCCACTCTTCTGTCGGGAGCTGGACTGGTACCGCCTGGATCTCTGTGGTATTCAGGAGGTCCGGTGGACCAGCTCTGGCTCCTGCCACCATGAGGGGTGGACAGTAGTCTACTCGGGGCAGGAGACTGCCAAACAACAGGGAGTGGCTCTTCTTCTGAACAAACGAATGAAGGGCGTGTTGGAGCGTGGCGGTGAGGTGTGGGAATCGGTAAGCCCCAGACTACTTTGGGCTTGCATTCCCATCAACCGGAGGCGAGGAGTGGTGGTCGTCATTACTTATGCCCCCACCGAAGACGAACATCCGTGGAGGGATGCAGGCAAGGCCGATGAGTCAGAAGGCTTTTATGACCTCCTCTCACAAGTGCTAGCTAAAGTGGCCCCTCGGGATAGAGTCATCCTGTTTGGCGACTTCAATGCCCCAGTTGGTCATGATGCTGGCACCTGGTCTGGAGTGATTGGAAGGCATGGGCCAGATCAGCTCAATAACAACGGTAGGAGGCTGCTAGATTTTTGTGCAGCCCATGGGCTTGTAATTATCAACACGCTGTTCCGGCATCGGCACATCCACACAACATCATGGATGCATGCCGGGTCCATGCAAGAACATCTGCTGGACTATGTAGTGACAGAACAGCGGATGCAGGCCCGTGTCCTTAACACCAGGACCTACCGTGGAGCTGATCTGCCCACTGACCATCGACTTGTCATCTGTAAGATGCGCCTACCATTCTTCCACTCCAGGACCCATTCAAACCCAAGGAGGCCTGGTCTCAGCTAGTTGATGAAAGTTGCAAGCGAGAATTTAATCATCACTTGCGGCTGGGGTTGGCATCATCCCCCACTCCTCCAGATGTCGAGGGGAAATGGGCGAGGTTTAGGACTGTGACTCATGCAGCTGCAATGGCTGCTTTGGGTACACGGTCCAGACCTCCCCAGAGACCCTGGCTGACAGAGGAGGTGTTCAGGCTGGCTGAGAAAAAGCGACAGGCCCACTCTCATCGTCTACAGCATCCCACATCAGAGAATGAGGAGGCTTACCGCAGCCTTCGCTCGGAGGTTCGGAGAGCCGTGAGGCGCTGTAAGGATGGGTGCTGGTCGTGGGTTGCTGAGGAGATGGAGTTTGCCTCAATGGCCCGCGATCACAAATCACTATTTAACTCCATCAAAAAAGTAACCTGCAGCGCCACACCTATTACCATAATTAGGGGAAAAAACGGTGATCCAATCTCTGACCCTCAGGAACAGGTATGCAGATTTGCTGAGCATTTCTGTGAAGTCCTGGGGGAGGGGAAATCCCTTGGCATGGAAAACATCGTGGGACAAAGTGGGGATGACCCTGCTGAGGCTGCGGTGTCTCAAAAATTGGAAGAAGTCACCCACTGTGAGTGGCTGGCTGAGGTGCCATCTGTTGAGGAAGTACTATAGGCGATCCAGAGTCTGAGACCAGAAAAGGCACCGGGCAGAGATGATCTCCCAAGCGAAATGCTGAGGGAGGGTAGCGTTTGTGCACAGACTGCCCTACATGACATCATAACAACAGTCTGGACCACTGGGTGGGTTCCGCAGGATTGGAAAGATGCCCTGGTGGTCCCCCTTTTTAAGAAGGGGGACCGCACAGACTGTAACAACTACAGGGGCATCTCACTCCTCAGTGTGCCGGGAAAGGTCCTGACAAGGATTATTCAACATCGCCTTGCCAGGCACGCTGAAGAGAGGCTTGCGGAGCCCCAATTCGGTTACAGGAATGGGCGGACCTGCACAGATACCATATTTTCTGTCCGTCTGCTACAGCAGAGATGTAGGGAATTCCAACAAGACCTACATCTCTGCTTTATTGACCAGGTCAAGGCCTATGATACCATCAGTAGGCCTGGGCTCTGGGTTATTCTTCGTGCTTTCGGAGTCCCTGACCCTCTGCTCATGATCATTAAGGACCTTCATGAAGGTGAGCGGGCCCGGGTAAAACTACGTGGCCGGGAGTCGGAGCCATACCCTGTTCACCTTGGGGTGCGACAGGGATGTCCTCTGGCTCCCACATTATTTAACAAATTTTTCGACCACGTAGTTCGTGAAGCCTTTGATGGCTGTATCGGAGGAATTTACATCTGGAACAGATAAAATTGGAGGCTGATCAATGCCCGGGTGGGGTCAAGGGATGGCTCCCTAGTGGTCAACCATGTTATGTATGCCTATGATTTGGTGATTGCTGCTCACTCAGAGGAGGAGTTGGAGGCGCTGCTGTTGAACCTGGAGTGTGCCACTAAGAGGTGGGGCCTTACCACCAGCCCCACCAAAATTAAGCACTTGTCTGGGTATATGTACCATCCAACACTCCACCCCCACAACCCCCAATTGTTGATGGGGCAGTTGTGGAGTGGAGAGTTTTCCATACATGGGCAGTGTGCTCATGACCGGCTCCGGTTTGACAGCAGAGGTCTCACTCCAAATCAGTCGAGCTTCATTATCTTTTCATCGGTTGCGTAACGCTGTGTGGAAGCTACCTGGTTTGTCGCTCCGCACGCGGCTTCAGGTCTTCTCGGCCACGGTCATTCCCTCCCTTCTCTACGCTTGCGAAACGTGGACCCCCCTAATGGAACATCTTCGCCGGTTAGAAACATTTAGGCTGGACTGCCTGCGATCCATCCTGGGTGTAACCAGGCTGGATTGTGTGAGGAGCTCACAAATCCATGAAAGATCTGGGCAAAGTCCCATCGGTGAGCTCCTCCGGCAGGCAAGGCTGCGTTGGCTGGGTCATGTGGCCCGCATGCCCAGCCACCGCATGCCTAAACAGCTTTTGTTCGGCCGGAGAGAGGGGGCTAAACGGGTGCGGCATGGGCTGGAGAAGAGATGGAGTGATGTGATACAGAAGGATGTGGAGCTGAGTGGACTTGCCGATGACTGGTACCAGCGGTGTCAAGATCAGCCTCTGTGGAGGAGGCTTGTGAAGGACGCTACTGGGCAGTTGGAGGCAGTCACCCTCCAACAACAACGGAGGGGGGAGGAGCGACGCTCACAACAACGAGCGGAGCGCTGGGTGGCTAAAGCACAGCAAGTTAGCAAAGTAGGGGGCACAGGCGGTGCATCAGCCAGTCATCTCAGTCAGTCGACCCGTGGCACCTGGGTCTGCCCCGTGACCACCTGCCAGCGAGCACTCGACATTTCACGTGGCCTCAAGGCGCATATAGCCTGGCACAAGCGTCGTGGTGACATTACCGCCACTTCGTGGCGAATGGCGGTTGTTGTTATCTCTATATATAAAAGGGACGTTTGTGAATATGTGTGTCTGTTCAAAATGTTTAGCGTACTTCCCGACATGCAACAAACTTGAAATTTGCCATGTGGGTACTTTCCAGACTATACACCATACAAAAATTATAAAAATAGACTTTTGTATTTTGGTGGGGGGGGCTCAATAATGGATTTTTTTTTGCACGGCAAGTGAGCTGTGATGTCACATCTGTCATGTGACCCGCGCATGTGGAAGCGTAACACAGTGTGCCTGCTCATGTGTTTGTCTGTTATATGTTTGTAACTCTGTTGGTCTGCCCCGATTTTT